TCTTTCGCTGTCTCCTCCAAGGCTGAATTCTCCCATCACGAGCTAAAGATTTGATCAATATTTACCTTCGTAGATGTTAATAATCTTGTTTGCTAAGATACTGCTCTGTATCTTCAAGGCGAATGAAAAAGATCGGCAGCAGTACTTCTCAGGAAAGATTTTTGAACAGGTAAAATTTTTTTTTTCCGCTACGAATTATCCACTCGTAATGTTGCACAGTTTTAATAGTTTATTTTTAATAGCTTTTTCTTCCATCATCAGAAACCGCTTGAAATTGCTAATTTGTTAAGTCAGCGAGATGAAGCTGTTTCGCGCCCCATCAGCTTTCCGTTTTTGATTATCCTCCAGTTCGTTTTATTCCCTTCAATAGTGCTACTCCTCACTTTTAAATAAATCATAATGAAAACTAAATAACCACAACTCGTAGATTACACAATTTTATATTTTTGGACGCTTAAGTCGATTGATAGTTGTGATCCTCCATCTATATCATTTATATGTAGATGACGACACACTGCTGGGTGCTAATTATGCTTTTTATTCCTAAAATAACCTAAGACAAGTTGAAAATCAAATACCAACACGTTTTTTAAAATCCCGAGGTAGTTCCTTGCTATCTCCTATGATTGGCCAGCTCATAGCTGTCCAAAGCTTAGCCTGCGAGCAGGCGTCTCTGATCTATTTGGGGGATATCGTGGGAAGTAGCTAGAAGTCACTAGGAAGCGGCCCATGAAAGCAAAACCCCGCTTTGCCGCTCGCTCGCGCTCACTTCTTCAGTTGCCATTTGAAACGGAGAGCTTGCGTCCAGGCCACACATAGCTAAGATACTTCAACTGAAAGGGTAGTGTTACGAAAATAATTCGGCATGGTTTTGTTTGAATTGCGCTTATTCACAAAGTAGTCTCTACGAAACAGGCGATTGACAAAAATTACTCTCTAAGGTAGACGCGTGCCAATAAATCAATTAATTTTTTTTTTGCGATTTTCCCCAAATAACACAGTCAAGCTCCAGCCTGTGCGCAGACGTTCCCTTGCCTCAAGAAAAGGGCCGTCTGTACACAGGCTATCAAGCTCGAAAGCACCTACTGTTTCAATTACAGTCCAGTGCAGTAGCGCGCTTGCACCTTACCCAGTTGAGCTATGAAGACCCATACATCGGGAGCCGACCAATTAGACCAATTTATTAAGTTCATCTTAACTCGTGAAAGGAATGAAACATGGAATTAAGATAATGTGAACTCTGGAAATACAAACTGCGACAGTCATTTGATCTTCATTTAAAAATTTGCGGTATTTGCGCGGTTCACATCATGTTCATTCCATTCTGAATATTGGCAAAACATGTGTCCTTTATTCGTCGTTGTCTGCATAATCAATATCTCTCTACGCTGTTTACACGAAAGCCAATACAGTGAAACCTCGAATTAACCGGCGAACCTCTATGTAACGAAGTCCTCGATATAACAAACGATTTTCTTTACCCCAGTAATAGTGAAATATATGAAGAAGAACCACGTTATAACGATAAATTTGTCAGTCCCTTGCCCCTTCGTTAAATCGAGGATCCACTGTAATATAATTAGTGCGCTAGCGGTGATATTGGTAACCCAGACCTGCTCAATGGTTTTCTACTGTTTCATCCCCTTTGTCTTATTTTGTCATTTATCTGATAGATACCAATATTAAACACCGCCTCAATAAACTTTCTGAAATTGGCAGCCATAACCTTTTAACTGAACGCTTCTACCATATGGCATGTTCTTGTTTCTGTTGATTAGCGACATGACGGAGAAGCATAAAAAGCTTCTCTTAGATAAAGAAATCGTGCCCTTCGTGCCCAATTTTCAATTTGCGCTGATTTGCGTGAGGACGTTTGTCTTGGGCACGTTTTATAAACATGTGGAACTTAAAGTTCTTCATGCTATCGAGTTGTAAAAACCATTCACCAGTTTTGTGTACAAAGTTTTCAAACATTCTGAGTCTTTTTATTTATTTACAAAATGTACAAAGTGTTGATAATACGACGTGAAAACGCCTGTTTTTCTTTCTTTCTTTTTTATGTAAACATTTTCACTAATATTTATTATTTTTTTCTTTCTTTCTTTCCCTCCCCCGTTTTGTGGGTTTCTCAGGTGCTTTCTTTGTCTCTGCCATTGCAGAAGCTGTTTGAAATTTTTATCGATTACATTTTCAATGGGGCATATGAAGACTTGATGAACGGAACACTATTAACCCTAATTCTATTATACAGAAAAATCATTTTAAGCACCGGGTGATTAGTTTTATTTCGTAAAGAAAAGTAAGCGTTTTATTTTCAATCATGATTTCCGCATTTTACAGTGATTTCCTTTTTAATTTGGCTGACCACGAAGTGACTTTGAATAACTGCACCTTCGGTTCGTATTTTTTCTCGTTGTTAATAAAGTGGCTTTCAAATGTTGTTGCCTTAAATTAGACTCCTGTCTGAAAATGTTGAAACTTGACCTCCCAAAATCTCCATTCAATCCACTGTTAGAGCCACGGTGAAGGCAGTTTTCTTAATTTAGGCGAAATTTCCTTGAAATACTTTGAAAGGCATTTCTAATTTCCGCTGTCGTTTCGGTGTAATATATGTTCATTTTAGCACCTAATATAATTACTATACACCTGCGAATTTGTTTTCAGTACAAGTTATATCTTTTCTTTATACCCGTCAATCTATGTTTTATATGAAATTGTTTCTTCATCTTTTTCAGTAATTTCTTAATGTGTCCTTTGTTTTCTTATCACATTAAGTTACCCTGGGTGCCAGACACTTTTTATGCGCGGTTCCCTGCTTTCGGTTAAGTTTTTAAAATAACTTAACCGCTCGTGGCTTCGGCCTTAGGCGCCGAAGATGTGTCGACCCTGCGAGAATATACTTCTGATACCCTGGGTGTATATTTCCTAATGTGCTCCCTAATCCCTAAAGATCCTACCCTAAAAAATGGTTAACAGTTGGATTAACCAGCCTTTCAAAGACCTTGCATTTTTTTGTTAAGAGTTCGTCTAGCGCGTGTACGAGAATAAATAAAGCAAAAGACTAGGACTTCGGTCACATTGCAACTCTGGCAGGTGTATGTAGGGGTGGGGCTCCGAAGGCCTGGGAATCCTTTTCCCCCATTTTACAACCAACTGAGGTCAGCAGGGCCGAGATGAGTTTTTTGCAGGGTAGGCCTCCTATTGTGGTCTCTTATATCAAGGTCTGGTTGAGAGCTTCCCTCCACGCCTCCTGCCCCTTTGCTTCAGACTCTGGGTCCGCTAGTGTGCAATGTACTCGGCTTAGGCCACGTTCACACGGCACTGGACAAATCCGTTTCGACTGCCCAAACTGCCCACCTACCCCTCCCCTAAGCCGACATTAACAGTTACTTCTCAATTTTACAGTGCAAAATGTTGCAAAATGCTTTCTTTTAGTAGCCTTAGACAGAAGGTTTGACGTAGTATGAACTTGGTACGCGGTCGCGTTTTTGGCATTTTATTGACCTTCAATTTTTTCTCACTGCTTATCTATCATCCGTAATTGTGCTTACCACTTTTAAAATGGCATATCCGAAAAGCTAACAAGATCAGTTTCAATCTCCTTTAAGATCTATGCAAACAGTATTCTGGAAAACGAATACTGACTTGCCATTAAAACACCCAAGATTATCAGTCCTTTAATTGCCATTAGTTTATACATCATAAATTGAGTCGCTTCTGAGAAGGTGCAGTACAAAAAAAACTTTAGCCCACGGCAGGGTCTTAAATGTTTAATCGTTTCAAACCTTTTAAAATGTTTTTGTTTTCAATTATTCGCTTCCTTTTTCATTTCGGCTGCCGCAATGTGTATAATTAATAATTCGAAATAAACATAATCAATTACGAACAACGTACCCATCAAATTCTTAATAACACAGAAAAAAATTTAGCTGCGTGATGTAATATAATAAGAAAAAATCACGAAAAAGCAGGAATGAAATCTCTCATCTTTAGGCACCGAAATCTTCGCCACTTAGTCAAGCTGCTCAAGCACGTATTTCAAGATTACGAAACTATCTTTACGAAAGCGGAAGACTCTTGATCAAAGCGACTGAGCTTATGTTTTCGTCCTAAGCGAATGTATTTTGCTAATGGAGCGTCAAAGGTGGTCTTATTTATTTTTTTCTCTACCAAAAAACCGTGAATGCCTACGAAAAACGGCTTAATTAAAATGAATAGCGAAAGCGGAATTAATAGCTTCAAGGGGTCGCGCCTACTCAGATTGAAAAAAAAAAAGGTTTCTCGCGCGTGGTCTAAATGAAAGAAAAAAACATCGGAAAGGAGTTTTGCTGGAGGTTTAACGTCTTAAGGCCATAATAGCGACATAACCTGATAATTGCTCCTAAACAATGGTTCATTTCCGTCTATAAATGCGATAATGAATCGCCACCAAACAAAAGTGGCTTCTTAAGGTTTGTTGGTTCAGTGGTCAATTTAGGTTGGCGGCCGAAACGTGTTACCCGAATGCAAATTTACTATATATATCATTCAAAGCCGGCAATAATTACACAGAAGACATTTAGCTTGTTGCCACACAACGAAGGATTCTTGTGCGTTTTACTCTCTGGACAATTTTTGACTACACAGTTCACCATTGATTGGATGAGACAGATGAGGAACGCTTTTAGTTGGTAAACCGTTTTTCTGTCGCCTTCCTTGACCCAATTCCTGGGTTATTTCTGAAAAAAAAGAAAGAAAGAAAAAAACAATAATAACAGCGCAGTCACCGAACAAAACGTTCCCCTTTTGGTTACTCATTTATTCATTCATTTAACCTTTCAATATTCGATATTTTATCTATAGCTTTTTTAAACGTGTTATGACTAATTCAATTTGGTTCTCAACGAAATCAAAGCGACGACGTGACATTTCGAAAAGCCTCTCTTACGGAACGGTTCATCATGCTGACATAAAAAGCATTGTTTCTTTTTTTTTCCCAGATCATCTAAACTCCTGTCAAGATGGAGGATAATGGGACTTCTTCTCCCGCCGACGATGAACATATCGGAAAACCAATCTACTATACACGGCTTTCTTGTTACGTGATAATCTTCATCGTTGGTGTTATTGGTAATACCTTGGTCTGCCTCGTGGTTTGCCGGCAAAGGAAAATGAAGAACGTTACAAATTATTTTATATTCAATTTGGCCGTGAGTGATCTATCAGTGCTTCTGATTTGTATTCCATTCGATTTTGGAGAGATTGTAACGGAGACATTTCCCTACGGCGCTTTTATGTGCAGACTTATTTATCCTCTTCAAACTCTCGCTACAACTGCCTCGGTTGGAACGCTAGTTGCAATAAGTCTTAATAGGTGAGTCCTTTTGCAGTTTCTTTTTCTTTCCATAATCAGACTTGTATGGTGTTTATAGGTTTATTGGCAACTGGGCTGTTAAATACGGTCCCCTGCAGCCGAGCTCAGTGGTACAGCTCCTGGACAAGAAACCAGAAGGTCTTTGGTTCAGTCGACATCCTATTTGGAGTACTCGGTTTTCTTCTTCCGAGTCGCCTGAGTCACTGACTTAAAAATGCTGATATCTTTCTAAGGTCTAATGATTTTTTAAAAACTCCACAACCGTTACCGACGAGTGTTTTTTTTCTTCCTTCCTATGGATTTCCAATTTTCTCGATAGAAGTGCAAATATGTTTACCTTTAATTAAAATTACGTATAAAGAAGAAACAAACCATTCGTGCAACTATTTAGAAAACGGATAGTTTTTATTTTATTTTTTTATAAAAAAAATATTTAAGAAGATTTGTACAAAACAAATGAAGCTCCTCTTGAATGTAAGGCCAAAAGGCAAAGATCTTAATCTCGTTTACAGTCTTTACATGTATTTTAACAATGATTTTGTTCCTGTGCTAAAAGCTTTCTTGCGTCAGTGCCCACTTTCGTCACCGAGGTGGAGTTCAGCCTTTGTGCTGAACAACAGATCCTACTAAAATTAAATAGATATTTTTTTTTTCTTTGGTGTACTTTTGTTTCTTAGCTTTTCAACTTTACATCTGGCTAAAAAAACCAATCTACAACCAAATAAGATTTGGCTAAAAAAAAAAAACCGAGTTATCATAAAAACGACGTGCTTGGTTTTAGGGTCATAGATATTGTATTCATAGGGAGTTTACAATTGTATCCAGGTTTTTTGCCTTTTATAAACTAGACACGGCAATTAATCAAAGACAAATTTCTAAGTGAAAAGCGCTATTCACCTCAACCTTGTTAGCTCTCTTTCACAATAGCAATTAAGACCAAGACACCAAAATGGGTCATTTGAAAAGGGGTCATTAAGGGCTTTTTGTAACAAAAGAAAATATTATTTTTTTCATTAAAACTGGTGCAATACAATAACTCGTAAGCGAGGTTAAGGAGAACTATTAGTCAAAATGATTTGGGAATTATTATTATGATTATTATATTATCATTGTTGACTTTTTTCCTTCCTTCAAGAGAGGAAAGGATTTTGTCTCTGGCTTTTGCGTATAACAAGGAGCTCAGAGAGTTTCTTAAGCTTTACTGAAGTCTTTATCTGATTACATAACTGTTGCTGAAGTTTTGTGCTTAAAAAGCGTTTCAAACCATATAATTACCGTGTTTTTTTCCTCCGAGCGGATTTCCGAACCTGATAAGCACTTTTCTTATAGATTATATAGTTTCGAGATAGTTTGCTGACTTGAGGCGAAATCTTGGATAGAGTATCTAAAGAGTCAAATGCAGGTGGTTTTTGCGTATCAGCACTCCAGTTTCAAAGCAAATCGTAAACAAGATGATCCAGAGTACACTAGTTCTCTGGTTTTGACGCTACACTGGAAAATGATCTTGGAGAGTTTTCGAAACGTCGTCGTGTTTTCTTACGTTTTCAAAAATTTCTTAAAACGTTTTCAAGCGAAATTTTACCGCATTTTTTTTATAGCCAAAGAGTTTTATTTTAGTGGCAGAATTCTGGAGAAGTCAATTCTATCCTCAAAATTAACGAGATGATTTTTTCAGCATGGACCAAAGATCCTATTTGGCTTTTTTTGCACGAGAAAGGATTGTTAGATATTATCTGATAACTCTACAGATATAGCTTTCTTATAGCTTTTTTTCTGACTATGATCGATGCTATCGTGGCTTTATCATCTCGATAAGCATTTTGCAAAAGACAAAAAAAATGACTTGTTGTTAACCTGCTTGATAACAACTGTTATCTTCTTTGAGATCTGTTGCAAAGTAAATCTGTTCATAATTCAGAGTATTAGTAAGGCCGTATTAAGGTTGTAATTTCGGAATCTCTTTTAGAAAATACAATCGGTTCTAACCTGTCGGAAGGTTTGAGAACTCAAGGGTTAAATTGCAGTGTTTGATTGCGGAAGGTTCAAATTATCGGGAGGTTAAGGAAGCCGGGGGTTAAAGCTCTTGTAATGGATTTCCATTGCTATGCTCAGTTGTGATTGGCTAAACAATCAAGCGTCACTTTCTCGACCAATCAGAGATAACCAAATTTCTGACAATGAAACTGTGATGTGGTTGCACGCATTTTCCCGCGCTGTGCAAGTGGATTTCCATTGCTGTCACTTTCTCGACCAATCAGAAGTAATCAGAAATCTGACAATGAAACTGAGATGTGGTTGCACCCGTTTTCCAGCGCTCTGCCGCAGCTGGCTTTATTTGATTTGAGCCGTAATTGGTTCACGGATTCTTAGCTGCTGTTGTGATTGACCAGATATATATATATATATATATATATATATATATATATATATATATATATATATATGATTTTGGTATTCCGACGCACAACAGGCGGACCACTCTGCTATAACAGCTAGATAAACTGCTCTATAACCACACCAAATTTCGGTCGCAAAATTTTCGGTCATTTTACACTAAACATCCAGACTCAGGTACTAAGATAAACAAAATATGTCTAAATACACGTAAAAATTATTTAACAGCTCATTTACGGCTGATGTTCAGTACAGTTTCAACGCAAAACATCACAGACCACCCTCGGGCAAACAAAACAAATTAAATAATTTTACTGATGAGGGGAATTTGTTTAACATCAAAAGGTGGATAGGGCTATCCACCTGATAAATCTCTATCCAGTGGACAGTGGAATTAGTTTCCCTAATACTTATCCACTGGATAGTGATTTATCCGATGAATAGCGCTATCCAGCTTTTGAACAACTGAGGCCAGGACTCTTTACTTAGTGACCACTGTCGAGAAAAAAATTTGAGGTTCAACCTGGGAATCGAACTCGGGATCTCTCGTCCCGACCAGGCGTGTGGACGTCTCATGCACAAATGCTACGCGCTACACTCTTTTTTTATAAGAACTTTCAGCCTGAAATTTGCCAAAATATTAAGAACATGCAAAGGACATACCCGAGGCTCAGAGAAGATATGTAATTTATTTTTGACTGCTTTTACTTTCCTAAATCCAGAAAAACTGAATCACATAATGTCCTACTATGGAATCAGAGTGCATGTAAAAATTGTCTTTCAACACATTCCAATTTTGTATGGTCAATAATATATTTACATTGTACCTGTACAATCCCAGAGTCCTGGGAGCTGCCCTCCCTGGACCTGTTGAGCCAACTAAATCAAGTCTTTGGATATGGATTTGTTTTCTTTAGACTCAGCTATTTTGGTTATAGTAACTTGCAATTGTTTGCCATTTTCATGTTCGAGGTCAATTTTTCGGAGACATGTCTCATGACAATTGCTGAAAATAGCGTTTTGGAGCCTTCAAATTTTTAAAATGTTATGGGGGAGGATACCCAAGGATACCCCCGGACCCCCCTACAAGGGTAGTGCCTTCGGCACTCGCGATAATGCTCTCCTCTCCCGTTACAAAAAAACCTAACTACGACCCTGAATTCATTAATGTGAAAACTATAATCATTGTCTTATCTTGGCTACATGTAGCTTAAAAGTTAACAGATTTCCGTTATTGAAATTTACGAACATCCGTAAGAACTTTTCCAGGCTGAAATTCTCCAGAAAATAAGAACGGTCCAGACCCAACTCGAAAACCGGACGTTCTTCTAAAACAAAAATAGTGTATCCAGCAATGTCAGTTTGTACTCAACAAACCACATGACACTAAGCTTGAATCTCTCTCTCTTGATGTGTTGCAGGTTTATGGCAGTAGTGTACCCCTTACGTCCTCAACTAACAACACGCGATGCTAAAAAGGTGATCGGCGTAATCTGGCTGTTTGCACTAGCTCTCGTGTCACCATACATCGCTGTTTTGGAGTTAAATAAGAAAAACAAGTGTATTGAAACATTTGAAGATAAAGGACTCAAAGCTGGAGCCTATACAATTTCTATTTTTCTTCTTCAGTATGTGGTACCGTTATCCGTTATTGGATTGTCGTACATAAGGTGAGTTTAAACTAGTTTTTAAATTTATGGCTTTTAATAATAATAGACCTTTTTCCTCACTGGCAATTTTCGGGAAAATATCTGTTTTTGAGATCTAGAATTTTCGGAGCATTTGTTGTAAAATTTCCTGCTTGCCTGCCTCTCCTAGGATTTTCGAACATCTTCAAAATGGTATAATTACTCATTTTTAACGGATTTTGACCCCAAAAAAGGCCACCTAGAATTTTCGGGAGCCTTTTCCTGGCTGAAATTTTCGAGAAGGTAAGTTTTTATCCCTGTAATTTTCGGATCACTAGAATTTCAGCTAGGAAATCCGAACAGATGAAAAGTTTTTGGGGGATAAAAATATGCCTGCCTTTATCTACCGTTTGAATACTAAAATACGTTCAACAATGTTATGTTAAGTGGTTTTGAACTATATCCTCGTTGGGTGCCCCTGATTCCTGTAAACAAAGGCACCAAGTCGATGCTGGTGGACAAAATAAAGTGATTTCTATGGAACTGTCCACCCGAACTTCGACGTCATTTCTTTATGTTTGGTCATTGGAGCGGAATGCGGGAAAGGTCTATGTACTTGGTTAACTGCTAAGAACAAAAACACGTTTAAGCCTTTGGGGGGCTGATAAGGCTACTTCCTATTTTGGAAGGAGAAACCTCCTGAAGTAACGAAGACCCACTTCGAATATAATGAGACATACATCTCGTTGCTGATGGAGAATTCGCGCGTCGTGCACATGAAAACCTAGCCTGGGACCAGGCTACTTGGTGGAGAAAAAAGGCGAATAACGGGAAGCAAAAATGCAAGCCGAGGGACTGAGGAGGGGGAAGCCCTCTTTCTTAGCGCTCTCCCCCGTCCTTTTTCAGTTCCCCACCGTAAGGAACCAGGTCGCAGGCTAAGGATCGAAAACCCACTTCTCGTTAACGTCGGAGCCCATAACCCGGAGCGAGCAACTTACATGTACTCGTGTCACGGCGTTCTTACTGCCAGTTTATTTTTAGAACGATTTTGGTGCCCTTTTCGAATATTTTTCAGGTCCCACAAACCAGTCAGCAAAACCAAAACCCCTGAAAATGGCATTTTTTGACCTTTTAATGACGTTCAGTTTCATTTGTTGCATCTTATATTTATAATGAGCACATGAACGGAGCGGAGCTTCCATTTTCGAGGAAAAAGTGCCTTAAAATGTATTTAAAAATAAACCGGTCCGTGAAAACGTCGAAGAGCTCATAGTCTCGAAAGGGCGAATGAGCTTGAGGCCATGGCAGGGTTTTACAACTAGTTGGTCAAAAATATCGAGACAAAATAACGTTAGCCAGCAAAACGCGATTCAGCCGCCATTGTTTTGGTTTTCAAACTGGGCTTATAGCCTAGTAAAACCACTGTTTGTTTTTAAAATACATTAGCGTTCAAACTGCTGTTAAAACATGTTTGTCTTTACAGAATTGGCAGAGATCTGCGAAGAGACAGGGGTTCTTATTCAAACGATGCTCTCCAACGAGACCAGGAGAGAGAAGCTCATAAAGTTATGAAAATCCTAACAGTTGTTGTCATAGTGTTCGCGCTTCTTATGCTTCCTAACCACATCGTCTTTCTCTGGTTTGATTTTGGCGATGGAGGTAATATACCATTACACAAAGCAACTTACAGAAAGCCCCGTGCAAACGAACGCAACATTGCTTGCCAACAACTCAATTTTGGATGTTACATGTTGCGTCCGTGTTACATGTTGCTGCGTATTGTATGGAGTTGTTGCGCAAAGTTTGAAACCGGTCAAACATTTGAAAACAACTCCCAACATTTCTTTTGTTCCGTGATCGCCGAAGCGTAGCGCAACGATGTTGGATCCATTCGCACAGCTCTTCCAACATTGTTGGGACCACGCACGCCCACTAAACACGGATTACAAAGATCGTATCCTTCCCATGATGCACCGCAGGTCTCAACATTGTTGGAAGCTGTTGCATCCGTTTGCACACCCGACTGCCAACACGGACGCAACAGCTCCCAACAATGTTGGCCCGACAATGTTTAGAGTTGTTGCGTCCGTTTGCACTTATTTTTAGCTTAAGGGTGTAAGAGTTTCGTGGATTAAAAGCTGCACATGTTATCAAAGATACGTTAAAACCGTGCAAAGGAAAGGGGCTTAGATTCTTTATTGGTCACTGCATAATAAGTCAGAGAAATTTGATTCTTGATCAGAAGTCAGGAAAAATTTATGTTCATACTGCAACTACTGACATTTTCATTCTAGAAAACAAATTCTTTATATTTGATACTCCAAATCCAGTTAAATATCTATCCATACAAAATTATTGAAATCGCAAATTTAAGGTTGGATATTCATGCCGGTGCTAATAAAAGAAGTTGAAGAAAAAGTGAAATGTAAAGCCAGTAAAATTCTGTCAGAGCCAGTCAGGGAATAGTCATCAAAGTTTTTTCGTTTCAGTAAGTGGCAGACCTGCCTCTAGAAAGCCAAGATTAGGATGCTTTCTCCTTTGTCTAACGGGACTGACTAGATGCTAATAATAAACAATGATTGGATGAGGTTTTTTGTGATATTCGGAATAATCAAGGTGGAGGTAAGTGTTATCAGCTGAGCCGAAGGCCAAGGATCATTACCCTCGCCAAGATCTTGATTATTTGGGATAACACAAACATCGAATCTAATTATTCAAAACGGACAGACTGCAAATTATAGTAGTTGCTAAAAATACATCTACGTGTCGTAACTGTTCATCAGTCGGATGCCTGAAATGTCTGCAATTCCACGATTGGTTTCGGCTCCATTGAATCCCACCTCCATTTTAAACAGGCCCCCAAATGTGTACGGACAATATAAGAAAAATAAATAAAAAATTAAGACGTCATTTAACGAACTTAATGTACAAAAATAAAAAATAATGCACGCGCATACAAAACTGCGATACAACATGGATAATAATACAACTGAAATACAAATTGCTAATCTCATCTCCCGCAGGGCTGCACCATACTTCTCGATGATAAGACCATGGCGATTGAAGAATTATTAAATGATTTCTGAAGTAGATTGGTTTCAAATCTAATAACTGTTTTAGTATACATTGTTTTGAAGAAAATAGCGACAAACATACCGTCGCAAGGAACACAGTTTGATATTGCTCTTGGAAATCATGCCTAATTCCAACGTTAACTGTAGGTTCTTAACCAATGAGAACACTGATAATGAGTCTAATGAATAGTAAATAATTTCCTTTGCAGCTAGTAACAAGAACGCCGATGGCATCTTGGCATTGTGTCAGATATGTGTGTATGCAAACAGCGCCTCCAATCCGCTCATTTACAGCGCTGTAAACGAACAATTTAGGGAGGGTTTCAAGAATTACTTCCGCTCCTGGATAGACTGTGTTCTTAAGATCAAAGGCAGTAGAAGAAAGGATAACATGAGGACAAATAAACGGCGAACAAAAGCGAAGCCTGTTGGAGGATGTTCGTTTTGTGGGCAAAGCGATACTTCGTTGAACGGGACGCTTTGTAACAGTACCAACAACTCTTCACAAGCCAATAATAACAGTGATCGGTCTGGAATGTTACAATGGGAGTCTTCCGTAACAACAGCGCAACATTCTGAACAATACGACGAATTTTTAACAACTGTGTGACAGTATGATTCATAAACATGAAAGACCCCTGAGAAAGAGATTTAAAACTTGGTCTTACAGGACAGTGTAATATAGTCGCAAGGGATTCAACCAATTACACTTTCATACTAAAAACTAGCGGAAAAAAAATCAAGCTCTTTGTACAATCTCATTGCCAGTGTTCTCTTCTGTTCGTCCCCCCGGGGGCGGGAATTGACGGATTAGTAGGAGATAGCCCTGGGACTCAGCAAGGTAGCGACTTATAAATGTTTCGTGTGTATGTATTGAGCTCTTTTTACCCTGTTTTGATTTTACTCAAAGATTGATGGCATTTATTTTGATATTATATTACGTTTTGCTGTTAGCTTTCTTTTCCTCACACGGTTACAATCCGGTAAAAGTCGCTGTGGATCCAATCACTATGGTAAAAGTCACTGTGGTTAACAGTGAAAAATAACTGAAGTTTTTTACTTCCGCAGTTAATAAATCGCTTTTCTATGACAAAATTGATCAGGCATGCGCAAAATACGGCCTCTGATTAAGTAGAGTTTGGGAGAATCGCATTTTTCAGAAGACCCCTCTCTCAAACTTTTCTGTAATTAATATTTTTCCTTGCGTACAGTGGCTGGGCCTGCCTGTTCTAAGCAGGGGTAAACGCATGCGCAAAAGATGCCAATAACTCAACCTACTTTTCAACCCCCAGCACAGGGTCCAGAGGAGTTTCGTGTGAATAAATGAATTACTCATTTAAAGTCTCACCTTGAAAAATGTCTATACCTGTCGCTTTGCACGATTAATTAGCCCAATGGGATCTTAATGAATCTACTGTAAACGATTTCTTCGCTTCTTATCTGACCAGATCGACTTTGTGGTTCGCCATTTTGGAAATCAATAACCGCCAGCCAGATCCTCGATGGCGCACGGAACTTCACCCGAAGGGTGACTGAAGGCCTTCGCCCGAAGTACCGAGTAAAAAAACAGGCAAGCCGATCTTGCGAGCCCTCAGTCTCTTGGTTTGCGGTCTATAGAATGTGTAACGAAACTCAGTAACGCGACCAAAATAACCCATTTCTACGGGTTTTGATGTTCTAACGACAAACACATCTCCTCTGCACCCTGTGCCCCCAGATCCTACTTTCTTTTCTTACAAGTGGATACCGTTCAGAGACTAGATAAGGGGGCTTAAACAACTACGACAACCTCTGAAGCGAAAACGCGACTAAAAATGAAATTGTGATTTTATGATACTTTGTTGTGTTTGTTTAACCTCTCTCAATTTGTCAAAACATAACTGTGGTCAAATGTAGGCAAACTTTCCAAGAGTTGAATCTTAAACTCTTAATTTATTTCCAAAGAAGAGAAAGGAAAAATTGATTGTCGTGTGTTCACGTCCTCCATGAAACGTCTTTAGAGACCTTAAGCAACTTCGATGACGACGGCAGTGAGAACGTGACTGAAAAAAGTGAATTTGCATCCTTTCAAACTTAATAGCGTATATTTGGAACCGCTCAATACGTCAAATGTAGGGGACTTCCCCTGGAGTTGAATTCTTATGGGCTTTACTCCATGTTTAAATAGAGAAAAGAAAATTTGTCGTCTTATGTCCATGGCCCAGGGGCACCCAACGAGAATATAGTTCAAAACCACTTAAACATAGAATTTTTAAACGTGTTTTAGTATTTAAACGGTGGATATGGGCATATTTTTATCCCCTATAAATTTTTCATCTGTTCGGCTTTATCCATTATTAAATTCGAAAATTTCAGTCAGAAAAAAGGTCCATGGCCAAATTCTAGGTGACCTTTCTAGGGTAAAAATTCGTTGAAAATGGGTAATTTTACCATTTTTTAGATGTTCGAAAATCCTAGGAGAGGCAGGCAAGCAAGAAATTTTACAACAAATGTTCCGAAAATTCTAGATCTCAAATCGTCTTCCGAACAGATATTCTCCTGTATTTTCCCGAAAATTGTCGTTGGGTGCCCCTGATGGCCACGTCCTCCATAAAACGTCGCATTGGGAGGTTTTACGTCGTAGTCGTGCAGTGGACGCCAAAGAAATGTACTAAAGAGCGTGAAGCACGTGCAGAGCTGTTGTTTTGCTCATAAAACCAATTGTTTTTTTTGGCGTTGTCGTCGTCGTCGTCATAGTTGCTTAACTGTAAGAGGGAGCTTAAGCAACTACGACGACGACCACAACGACAACTTAACAAACAATAGGTTTAATGATCAAAACAACAGCTCTGCACGTGCTTCACGCTCTTCAGTACATTTCTTTGACGTCCACTGCACGACTACGACGTGAAACCTCCTGATTTGACTTTTTATGGAAGACGTGGACATACGACGACGAAATTTCCTTCCCCTTTTTGAACCTGAATAAAACATATTTTAGAATTCAACTCCAGGAAAAGTCGCCCGCATTTGACATAATGAGCGGGTCCAAATAGATGGATTAATTTGAAGGAAAGCAAATTCATTTTTTTGGCCACGTTTTTACTGCTGTCGTCGTCTTAAGGTCCCTCTTTAAAAGGTCATGTACTAAAAAGCGTACGCGTGATGCGTGTGCAGAGCTGTGCATGTTGTTTTGCTTATAAAATCAATTGTTCTTGCTTTTTATGTTCTCGCTGACGTCATCGTCCTGTTTGGTTAAGTTCCCTATTGATTGATCTTCCATTCCGCTCGCACTCACCACACGCAGCGGATTCTCCTCCTGACATCAAATTTATCGTTATTTTACGACTTTTTGGTCTTATATTTCTGGTTCAAATCAAATATAAAAGTTAAGCTATTAACCAAGGTAATCAGAAGAAATTTTACCTTAACATAAACATGACCTGGCAATAAAAGTCGACGAAACTCTTTGTCATTACGTATTGTAAAAATACATTAAAGTATAGATTCGACTGTTATTTTAAATAGCATGCCAACACATTGTTCCGTCGGCCACTAACAGTTGTCAAAGCGCTTAGACTCTGAGCCTAAGTTAAAATCTCCTTCCCCTAAACAATTTCTGTGCTCACAAACATCTGCACAATCCAATATGACAGTCTTCTACACAGAGGTTCGTTTCTCCTTAGTTCTAAGGTGTTTTTGACAATTGGCTAATCACGTGCGAAATTGTTGGAAATCTTATTCTGCTCTGATTGGCTCAGGCCCCTTTGAATGAACGATGTACCTGCAAATAGTTCAATTCTGTATCCTCTTCCCAGGTGGTAAGATAGTTTGAACGCGTCCAAATGAGAAGCAGAACTTTTTTTTCTGCTCCGTGCCCTACTGAACCGTCTCGAGTATCTGCACGCCTGGAACAGGCTAGGAAATCTCCTCCTCCTGTTTGACAATAGGGACCTTACGAAACTTCGACGGCGACGGCAACGGCAGCTTCAAAAAGCAATAGATCGTTTTCTCTGTCACGTAGCAAAAAAATAAATTGGAAACCGTCCAGTGGAAGAGGCCAAGAAAATGAAATGTTATAAAAGACTAATATATAAACAATTTGTCCAAGTTTCAGGTCTTTGTGGCCCACAGTTTCTGAGTTATTTGCCGAATCGTTTCTTGCACCTTTGTAGAGCTTTAATGGAGACGCCATATTGGTGTGCCATTTTGGCCCACCAATATGGCCGCCGAAAATCAACAAAAACATCTGGAGTTCACTTTTTCTATAAAAGCTCTTTCTTTTCACTCGAGAACTAGCATACGTGCGCATAAACTTATCGTCTAACACTTGAAAAGGTTATACTGCTGAAAATCAAGAGGAGAGACTTTTTTTCAACGAGACAGCGTTCCTATTTTGGTGTCACGCACTGTAAAAACTCGGAAGTTCAAATTGCTGTATTTTCGAAATGAAATACGCTACGGGAATGGAAACTTGTACAAAGATTTATTCTTTGTTTATCTTCAACCTAGTGTAAATAAGAATTCGTAAAACCAATTAGAGAGCGTGCACAACGCTAACCACCGTTTTAGTGTATACTAAACATGCTAAATACATATAGGATCACCCCCTGCCGTCCTTGGCCTTGGCTGGCCATAACCCTCATCATGTTCTACCAAGCGTTTACATGAAAGAGGCACCTCTTACAACAGTAAAAAACCTGTTGAAGGAAGAGAAACCAAACCGGCAATGATATCCAAAGCAGAGTGATATTGAGCTTCAAATATATACAGAAAAGGTTTATAAATTTGAAAACGGAGGAAAAATTTCCCTCTTCATCGCTTGGTAAGAATTTCCCTTTTGGATGATGCTTTCGCGAAAATTCTTGAACTTGACTGGCAACTGGCAGTTAGCAACGGCAGCAAAATGACAAAAACAAGAGAAAAAGGAAAAGCGAAAAAACAAAGCAGAAAAGTCTAAAGAGATTGGGTAAGACTTTTTGGCATGCCCGTACCAAAAAATGTCACAAAACGGGATGCTATTGCAAAGAAAGGCATGCTTTCATGTTAAATTTTGAGTAGTTTGGACTCATAACTGACCGAAAAATGTCCAAAAATGCGAATTTTTCAAGAATCTTCACGTGTCAATGGTGGCAATCGGTTTATATTTCAGTGATCTTGCTCCAATTTCTTCTCCAGGGCTATTGATACGGACTAAAAACTATACAGACCGACAAAAATCTGGACCGATATATCGATCGACTATCGGCCGACTCTCGACCGATATATCGAACAGCTATCTTCTGACTATTGACCAAGTGTCGACCAATTACTGACCGATACATCGGTCAAGTATCGACCAACTATCGGCGAAGTGTCGGAGAAAAGTCAGCGAAGTGTCGGTGAACGAAAAGCTATATCGGCCGAGACACATCTGGAACGACTATCGACCGTGTCTCGACCGAGTGTCGACCGACTATCGACCGCTATATCGAACGAGTATCGACTCAGTATTGACCGAGTGTCGACCGACTATCGACCGAGTGTCGATATTACCCACAGTAAACAAGATCCGAAAGGCTAAAAATTCTTAGATGACCGTTCCATTCATGTACAATTTTCGGAGCTTTTCTTATAAATTCTCTGCGATTTTCTGAAGTTTGATTTTTCCCATTTCACAGCCCAGGTCAGGCTATTTTTCGTAGGAAAATGAAACCTAAAATTTTCGGATTCAAAAATGTAAGGGAGGGAGGAATCAAAACAAATATTTTTCGTAATGCGCTAAATTGCATCTAAAATTTTATGCAACTAATACTAAAATTCCGTTCATCAGATGTAAATTTCTGACAGGTCATTTGTGTACTCACCAATCTTAGACACTGTTTACATGGAGTGGGGGACCCCGGTCTAGTGGGGTAGGTTTCTTTTGTTTTGTGTCCCCTAGAGCGTGAAAACGAAAGAAACCAACCTCACTAGACCGGGGTCCCCCACTCCATGTAAACAGGCCCTTATACGACTTGAAGCCGTGAAGAAAAGAGTTCACCTCGATACGTCACGACAGCGTGGGATCCAGGGGAGGGGCCAGGAGAGCCGGGTCCCCCCTTATGTTTAGACCAAATTGAGGCCAGAAGGGCCGAAAAGTTTTTTTATAAGACCGGCCTTCCCACCCCTTATGTCAGGGTCTGGATGACCGCCCCCCAAATCTGAAGGTCTCGACCCGCCACTGCACGAGATCACGCTACAATGAGATTTTATTCTGAGAAATTCCATTGTCTTATTAGTAATTTCAATTCCTTTTTAAAGAGATTTTATAGAAACTGTCCGGATTTGCTAAAACGTAGCTAAAGAAATTTCAAGTGCACTTTTAACAATTTGACATCTAAGGCGAATGGGAAGCAGTTAAAAGTCAATAGCTGATGAGGCAACAGCAATAAGCAGCCTAGAAAGGTATGTGCTGCTGAACAGGGTATGGTTTTTGGGGTCGACTTCAGTCTTGAACAGGGTGTCTTTTTCGACCGATGAGCGGTCTAAATCTATAGTTTTAATAGAGCTTTTTCAAGAAAATCTAATTTCATGAAGTTACTGTCGAATCCCAGTAACTCGAACCCTCTATAACTCGAACCTTCTCGTTTTCTATATAATTTTACTATGGATAATATGAAGACTGGGTCTTTCTATTATCCATGATTTTACCCTCGATAACTCGAACTCCCGATAACTCGAACTTTTTTCTATTTCCCTTGAAGGTTCGAATTATCGGTAGTCAGGTGTAGTTTGAAAAATTACTCAGTTAGTTTAGTTTAAAAAATAACTTAATTCTGTGAGCAAAACGAAATGAATAAGGTCCCTTGTCTTGAACCGGGAAGGCCTCGGCGGCACACCTCCACCCAAAGGGTCCCCTTCCACCCCCCCCCCGCTTCCTACGATCCGTATATAGGTTATTTTAAGTAATCATTAATATTCCCAGGGCCGAACCTTCCCGTTGTCTGAGCCGGGATAGTTCCTCGAACCTGCCAGGTGTATTTGGGAAAACATGCAAAAGAAAAAGCTTCTTCCTTTATGTTTTGACTGTCGGCTTCCGCAGTTTAAAAGAGCGTGTGCGTGAACGTGCGTGTGGCGCGTGCACCCGGGCCATCACGAGAAATTAATATACTCACTAATATTTCTTTTTTGTTTCAAAGATACTTTCGTCAAGTATATATTAGCTTGTGTAAAACAATAGATTTGCTCTAAAGCGCTTGTCTTTTTGCGTGCTCGGAAGGCGTGAAAATCACGGAAAATCAGATAAAAATGCCAGGTGAGTTTTGAATTCCAAAGAGCGCACATGCACAAAGATCAAATTATGCTAAATATCAGTTGATTTGCTCCAATCACGACGGTCCGTAATATATTCTCTGTCAATCAAAAAGCCCCTGGAGTCTCCGACAGCCCATAATTTTTTGTAACTGTTCGTTTCAAAGTTGAGCATTTTGAGGTGAAAACAAATGAACACTGATTGTGAGGAAAAGATTGATCATTTGGGCTGAGTTTAAACGCGTTCATGGACAGCACGTCCATTATAACGCAGGTTACAAGGGACGATGAGTCTGTGGAGGTGAACCCGTATAATCAAGTCAAGTGTGAGTAGAGGCTTCCACTCTCACTGCATTGCTCATTTGTCATAGCCATCGTCACGGCGCGAATTTTGTGAGGCGCTTAGAGCGATACCGGCTAAATTTCAGCGGTTGAGATGATTCTTAAGCACATTATTTCAAACTTTCTTACAGCTTGTTTGCTTGGGAATCTCCGATTGCGGTCATTGAGTTAATGAAAGTGCTGTTAACATTTGTATTTTAATTGTCAGCTCCCGCTTGGTTAATACGTTTGATATTTTGCTATTCTTGTCTCCTTGCACGTTCACTCAGTTCACTAACTTTTTTTGGTGACTTACAGTACCTGGTTCAATCTCCAAAAAGCCGAGGAGTCGGAACATATTTTCTTCGTTTTTCTGCTGTTTTGGCGCCCAATCGACAGCTGCTGGAAGTCCGTGTACAACTGTTTCGCACTCCAATCACAACCACAACCACAATGATAATTCGATCACCGAAGACAAGACTGATTCGAAGGTTGGTATTTCCGTACGTCGAGGTTACTTGCCAGGTGTTTAACTGTAGTTTTGATGATCTACTGTTCACATAACTCTATATTTCAGCTTAGAAAGAGGTTTTGTTTATTGGGGTCTGGATCTCTGTCCATTAATTTTTAAAATCTTCACTTTAATTTATCCCAGGAATGCACACACGCAGTATCCTTTGTTTTCATTAAGCTGAGAGCAAACTGTTTCTCTAAGGCTTCAGTTCTTTCCCTTGGTAGCTCGAATTGCTGTGGAAAGAGCTTCTTTCCAGCTCTTTCCAAAGTAGTAAAAATTCGATTTTCGAGTTTGTCGTTGATCATAGCTTGCACGCCGGGCGTTTCGTGATCTCACCATCCAAAAACTGTCAATTTCATTGACGAAACGGACACCTCGCGACGGTTTCTTTCACGGTAGAACGTTTTACTCAGTGACGCTTATGGTTTTGCAGCTCTCGGAGATCGATGTTGCAGAGCTTGTTTCTTGAGAATTAAAAATTACTATATGGTACAGCAATATAAAAAAGATACCAATTAATTCGGTTCAAGGAAGAGAAGTGATCACTCCGGTTGGTTCCTTGTTGGTGTAAATTAATTTCTGCATGTTTGCTGCAAAAGGAAATACCCTATATTGCTCTTTCTAACGAATATTTGACTTATAAATTATATAAGATCAGCCGCGTTTTAGCTTGTTTTACAATATGTAACTACTTGTACGTTAATAATTTGTGTATAGTTATCCCAGGGTAGCAAAACTATACACTGATCACGAGTCTTGAAAAACTACCTTGTAAATATCGCCTCTGTTTGATGATTTCGAAGTTGATAACTTTGGTTGTTATCATATTGATCAACTTTCTTTCTTGGCAAAGAGTTGATCATAAATATGCCTTGTACAGTGGTATTTCCTTTGCATAACTCTTAAAATTTGACAGTTGAATATTGTCCTAAGCATTAACAAACTCTTAAAACAGCTCATAGTTAGCAAAGGATAAGTTACATATTGCATATTTTTTTTGTTTTATTTCTGGTATCTACCCATACAAATTTTATTTGAATCTTAAGAGGTGTTAAAGATAGTTAGAGCTGTATTATGTAATGCATCAAACAAGTCATCTGAAAGGGTGTTTCATCTGAGCAGACAGGGTTGATTAAATAGATCTTTGCAACAACTTATTTGAATCAAACTCATTGTCTGAATATATAAATATAGATGAAAACTCTTATGAGAGTTTGATATGATAAAACTTAAAATTATCAATAATCATTAAGTAAATATTGTTTTGAAACTTTTGTCATAATTAGGGTTATTTTTGCTTTGCTTGAAATCTCCTTATGAATCATTAATGAACTTAAAACAATATCTTTACTTTGTATTTATAAAAACAATCAATAAAATTATTACGACTGGTTTTTGATTTGTTGGGAAGAGCCTAAAAGGTTACTCTCACTTTAAAATGGCTGAATAACTTTTATAAATCATACTGTAAAATTCCAAAAATAAGCCCCTTCGTTTTATAAGTCCCCCAGACCGGTAATGCAAAAAACCCTCCGTTAAATCGCCCCTCCAATTAATGTAAGCCCCCTGAGGGCTTGTACTTGGAATATTGCCCTTAAATACAAAGTAAAACAAAGCAAAAACGGTAAATTTACCTTCAACTGTAAGGCTGGCCCAGTTGATTTTGAAATGCAAATTTCCCTCCATAGAGAAGCCCCTCCAAAAATAAGCCCCTCAAAAAGGGCCTTTGAAAAATATAAGCCCCGGGCCTTACTTTTGGAATTTTACAGTATTATCAAACTTAATGTAAACATTATTAGCAAGAGCCTTAAAATCTCTCACTTGAAAAAAGTTAAATAATGTTAGACAATGCTAATTTTAGTGACATGATTTAATAGTTCAGGACTAAGGAAAGCGAAGTATTACTGACTGTATTATTGTGAATTTCTTTCTGTTTTGCAGCCCTGTAAATATCTCCTTCCTGCTGTCAGACACCAGGATATGCATAAGAAATGTGTAGTTATAGACCTTGATGAAACACTAGTACATAGCTCATTTAAGGTACAGTCATGGCTTTGATAAAGTAATGATAGTAGTAGTGAATGTCAAAAAAGCAATCAACATCCATGACCCGTGGGCCTGGGTCCCCCTTATTTTTAGACCAAACTGAGGCACAAAGGCCCCCCCCCCCCTTACCTTAGGGTCTGGATGACCATCCACCTCCTTATCTCAAGTTCTGGATCTGGCACTGAAATTCTCCAAACTAATCTTGAAACATTTCCTTGAAGAAGTAGTTGAGAGAATTTGATGAAAGACCAAAGCATTTCCCTTTGGTGATCTTTTTTTATTCTCGTAACCTTTTTGCTTGAGGATGTTTTGATGTTGTCGGGAGAAAATTGATGTTGGTCACTTTGGGGACTTAATGGGTTACTTAATCCTTAAACTTTTAATGGGACTTAAAACATTTTCCCCAAAATTCATTTTTAAACTAAATATACAGGAATATTCATCAAAATGGCACCAAAAAAATATTTTCCCCAAAATTTATTTTTTGTTGTTAAAATCCTTTATTGATGCATTTCAAATATTGCATATGCTGACAAAAGGATATGATTCATCAAAATGTGCACACCATTCCAGTCGTAACAATGGTAAAAAAAATATGAATTTTCAAAGAGGCAGTGACGCATCATCAGTATCAAATTTCTGCAATCATTCCTCAGGCATCATTTTGAGGAACCAGAGGTGACATGGCAAAATGGTGGCTGTTTTGTCAGGCCACTGAGTCAAGTAATAAAAACATCTTGAAAAATTCAAAAAAATGTTTTTTTCGCCCCCAGCCTCTCAAACACAAATGGTTACTGTCCAGCGAAGTAATGTCAGTAAGTGACTGAGTCTTGGTCATGGATTTCATGAAGAGTATTCTTTGTTTTATTGCAGCCTGTTCATAATGCAGATTTTATTGTCCCTGTTGAGATCGATGGCACAATACACCAGGTATTATCAAATGAAATGGAGTAGAGTGTTATTCTTATTGTTTTTCTAATTTGCACAGCACCAACATTTTCTACTCTTAGTCTGGTCCTGTCGTGAGACCTTTAGACTTCACGGACCCTTTCCTCAATATGGTGGGCGTTCCAAGAAGTACAGACTTTGCAAATTCTGACCCTATTTGGAATTCCAGTTTCCCTCAAGTGCCCTTTTAAGTTCTTCAGTATCACTCCTGTAGTTATTATTATTATTATTATTATTAATTATTACACATTTTTTGGGCAACCTCAAAACAAGCATTTGTTTGTTTGACTTTCAGGTGTATGTGTTAAAACGGCCCCATGTGGATGAATTTTTACAAAGAGTTGGCGAGCTGTTTGAATGTGTTTTATTCACGGCCAGCTTATCAAAGGTTTGTTGGACTTTCTTTGTGTTTTTGGAGGTTTTTGTTGGATTTGCTTAGATCAACAAGCAAAATCCTAGGAATACATTGTACTAATTTTTCCCTGCAAATAATTGTCTGAAAGTCAGTGCTGCAGTAAGATGCAATGTTTTTCAGTTTGGCCACTAGTGCTTCCTTGACTCTTATTAAGAGCTGTTTTTACATTGTAGATTAACTGAGTTACACTGTAAAGACTTTCTTCCTCCCTGGTTACAAAGTTTGCTTTCAAAACAATGTTTGACACTGAAGTTGCATCAGGAGAAACATTGTGTCCACAACATTATTTTTTCCTATTTTAGTCAGGTCCTCAGTGTAATTATTAATGTTTTCATGTTGCTTTTTTTTATCAGTATGCTGACCCAGTTGCAGACTTGCTGGACAAGTGGGGGACATTCCGTGCAAGACTTTTTAGAGAGTCTTGTGTATTTCACAGAGGAAACTATGTTAAGGTACATTACAGCAGGGTGTTGTTTAAGGCACATCAAGCTTATAGATATGATAGAGTAAAATCACTTGTTTCTTTTGTGCCATTGACAGGGTTCGCACTACTCCTGGAATTCCATGAAAACTCCTGGATTTTTGAAATTTTTTTCCAGGGCCCTGGAAAATTCCTTGAAAATTCAATTTTGGCATCAACTCCTGGAAAACTCCTTGAATTTATCTATTAATCTTAGTTGTAGGATTAAAAATGAATGAGAAAGTTATGAAACGTTTCTCTACAGACACTTTCACAAGTAACTTGTTCTAAAGAAAATTGATGTGAAATTTACAACTTTGGGGTCTGGATTTTTTTGTTTATACCCTGGAAAACACCTGGAATTCCATTATCTACAGGTAGTACGAACCCTGCATTAATAATAAGCAATTTTGCATAAGCATATATGCCATCATGGCAGATGGCCACATTTACCAGCCTTCCCACCATTGACGCTAAAATTTGCGACTATATGGCTGCAATTATTACTTTTGAACAGGTAAAAACCTTTTAATTAAAGCAGGAGCATGCCTCTGTAAATCCAAAACTGTTACCTTCTAATTGGAACCTAACTTGTCGAGGGAGCTAACAAGAAAGCCAACTGGTTCATTTAGCTTGCAAATTATTTTCACTAAATTTAATTAATAATCTCTTACTTTGTTCCTCTATAAGATTGTACACTCAACCTTTTACTACATCAATAAAAGCACAGTTAGACTACTCTTATTCTTATATAAGGTATCTTATATATTCTGATAAATTAATGGGTAATTGATCTCAATAGACAAAAAGCAAAAATATTTATATGTTTTATATTTGTGTAGAGAGTGAGTCGCAATGTGTTTAATACAACGAGTTTAATAGACTTTTAAACTTAAGTTACAAATTTAATAGAAATGAACACAACCTGCAGATAATTATAGTAAGTCAATATATATAAACTGAAAAGCTGGGTTTTAGATTACTATGAACAAAAAATGCACTTTCAATAAATTATATTAGTACTACGCATTGTAACAGATTGTTGGTTATCTATTAGGATTTGAGCAAACTGGGAAGAGATTTAAAGCATGTTTTAATTGTGGATAATTCACCAGCATCATACAGTTTTCACCCAGAGAATGCGGTAAGGATCAAGTTCGGTTGAAAACGTGAATACACTTTTCTTTGTATAGAAGGAGAAATACAGTCACACATCCATCTGCAACTGCCATTAGTAAGCAACCACAACCCATAAGCAACCACCAATCAAAAACACTAAACCTTTCCCAGTCAAAACTTTACAGTTGGAACCTCTTGTAAGCAATCACCTCTTCTAAACGACTGTGACCATCACTTTTTGCGGATGACGAAATTAGTCATTTTGCTATTGTTTTTAACCCCGTGTAGCCGACTGCTTCACTCATGGTCTAATCTCTATGTTCGCTCTATGTTACTTAAAGTACTGGTATACAAAGATCTTGTAATGACAACATGGAAGTCAGCACATATTGTAACTTAGAAATTATTGGGACCACTATGTTTCCACATTTTGTTTAGTTGCTTACGGGAGATGCAACTGCATATACCAGTATGTTACTTTTTGGGACTTTGCCCACAGCTTCAAGGGCATTTGCCACACCATATCTCTGACACTTTTAATGGGTTTAATAATGTCATCTTTTTCCTTCTACACAGGTCCCAGTTGTGTCTTGGTTTGATGACTTTTCAGACATAGAGCTTTTAGAGTTGATACCCCTTCTGGAGAAGTTAAATGAAGTTGATGACGTGTGTGCATTTTTGAGAAATGACAACGTGAATACTTTGAAGACAAGGTGCCATCCTTTTGACACCAGCTGATTCACAGTAAATCATTTTATAGACAATTTTCATTCCTTTTTGAAAGTTTTTTTTTTCCAATCGTGCACAATGCCTTGAGTAGTGAAATAATGGTTGTTATTCTTCTACGAAGTCGACAATGCATTTTTTTTGAAGTAGGAATTTTCACCAAATGCTGGGATGCCCAGCCCAGTTGTACAGTAGATCTGGCTCTAGTTGCATCGTTCAAAAGGTGAATATTACTCTATCCACTGCATGAAGTGGATAACTCCATATTGGTTTCCCTAAAAGTTGTCCGCCGGATAGTGATTTATCTGGTGGATAGCATTATCCAGTGTTTGGGCCCAATTATGATAAATATTGGCACGCATTGTGCATTCACAGGAAAGCTGTGCAGCTAAAAAACTTCAGAAAACTTTTGGCACCATCAGTCAGTTGGAATGTGTGAAAACTGCTGATTTTCTGGTAATAGCCTCTCAGACAAAGAGATTAGACTATCAGATGTACCGTAAAATTTAACTGCTGCTGATAAACCTTGCATGGGCTTATACATCTTTGTAAGGGGTCTTAGGAGGGCTTTTATGTGGGGGGGACTTACAACTGAAATAGAGCTATAGCATTGCTGATCAAAATAATATATTTTGCATTTGCTGGTGTTTTAAGCTACAAAACATCATAATAAATCAAATTCAATTTCGATACATTTGGCTTATATCCAGAGAGAAGGGGCTTGTAAATGGGGAAGAGAGGCTATAGGCGGCAGTTTACAGTATATTCCACTGACAAATCTTCCCATTTATTTTTAACAATCTCAAATGGGCCATGTTTGATTGAGTTAATTTTTGTGCCAAAAAGACCTTTTAGTGACAGCCCTAGAAACTTGGCTCATCAGATAAGCTTCGCAGTTCACTGAAATTGTACAGATAATTTTGAATTTCACAGTGCAGCTTGCTTGCTAATTTTCTTGGGAAACATCATCATTAAAAAGAGTTTTCCACAATTGTCTTTAGTTAGTAAGAAACAACGTACTCTTGAATGGGAGAATTCAAGTAGTTGCAATTTTTAAGGTACTCATGTAGTTTCTTGGTGTTGGGGAAGGGTGATTATCTCCAAATGATGGAAAACAAAACATTGAAAAGACACTTAACAAATCGACCACACTTTTCCATGGTCCACACTCTTATAGACCATAGAAATGATGTCATAAAATGTTCAAAACTCAAGAAGAACCACGAGCTGCAGTCGAGTAGTTTCACTGCAAAATTTTGAACGTTTTATGGCATCATTTCTATTGTCTATGGAAAACCATGGAAAGTGGGGGTCGATTTGTTTTTTACAATAACATTTATTTTTATGAAAAACCAAAAACAAAACAACCGGCACTGCATTATTTACGTCATTTCCATGGTCTATACTCTCATAGACCATAGCTCTCGACTAATCAGCGTGCGAGGATTCGTTCAGTTATTGTAAAATGAACAATATACCCACACCCCAAAAAACAGCTAACCAACAACAATTTCCACAACACCAAGAAACACCAATTTTAATGCACTGGTTATAGGCAGTGCCTATTACCTATAATCAACCATGGACAACTAACTGTACCTTTAAATAAGAAACTTTTTATGATCCTTTTTAGTTTGATATATTTTTATCTCAATAGTATGATTGTAGTATTTTTACTCATATGTACATAGGATTGTTGAAATTTTGGACAACTTTTTATTGCCTTCAAATATTATAAATAGCTACAGTGGTGTACTAGCAACAAAATAGTGGTTTCTTATCACTTTCAATTTTAAAGCAAATTATCAGGGCCTGTAATGAATTTATGTGGCATCTGAGGGAGTGCGAACATAACCATAGTATTCAGAATTATTAACCTTTTTGTATTTTTAGTTTTTGCTGGAAAAATACAGTATTTTTTCACAAAAATAGTGGCAGAGTCTTATGTTTTTCAATAAAATTTTTATGCCTCATGCCACAGAAACTTTTGGCCTTAAAAACCCCCCACCAGGCCCATCAGAATGGCACTACAGTGTATGAGGATCAACCCTTCCACCACCCCTGAGAATTTCTTATGACTCAATGAAAGTTGTAGCATCAATATTATTAATATTATATAATATAATAATATTATATTATTATTATTATTAATATTCCCTTGAACTTGTAGGACTCTTTTATTCAACAACATATATAAACCAGAGAATTTTTTTTAGCAAAAAGTGTTTTCTTGCATCAGTGTGGTTGTGGTACAACGGGGTACATAGTGTATGTCCCTCCTATTAGAATCGGTCAATTTAGGTTTTTGGGAAACTGCCCACCTACCCCTCCCCTAACTCAATGTCCACATTTGTGTCTCACTTGGGGCAAAATCTTGGGTTAGGGGAGGGGTAGGTGAGCAGTTGATCCCAGAAACCGAACTTGACCCCAATTTATTTTGTTACATTATGTTAATACAAAGCAAATTAAAGCAAATCTTTGTACTTAAAAACACTTGCACATAGATTTTGTTGCTGTCCCTTGAACTAAGGAACAAATCTTTTAATTGGTTATCACTGATGAACATAATAATTGTTTCATGTAGGCTATTCATATTATTGACCACTCAATTTTTAGTATCTCCAAAATAGTTTTAGAAAACAGTCTGAGACTACTGTACAATCTAAACGAATTAAAAACACGTAAAATATAAGGGTTTTTCTACAGTTGGCAGTGTTAGCTTCCCTGGTCTATATTTTCCTGGTGGAGGGGTGGGGGCTCCAGGAATGTTTCACCCAGATGGGGTTGTGCTGTCATGACCCTATAACCCTTAAGGCCAATAGCAAAAAGCATGACAAAGACCCTTTAATGGGACTCAGAATGTACCTTATCGCCCACTCCTCCAGGGAATTACTTTCTTGTCATCATCACTGTAAGGCTGTGCTCTAAGAAAAATTGAAGGAAGCCCAGTACTCTGAACCTGTAAAATTTAGGGTGCCCAGGATTTAATTTGTGTGAAAAAAGTAAGATTTCCTAGTTGCTCAAGAGCAAAAGTTAGGCACCATGGCCAGGGGCCATTGGGCTCTGCTAGAGCATGACCCTGGGATCATTATACGTTTCTGGGAAACTGCCCACCTACCCCTCCCCTAAGCCAATATTAACAACTACTTCTCACTTTGGGCTAAATGTTGGCTTAAGGGAGGGGTAGGTAGGCAGTTTCCCAGAAACGGATAATGATTCCCAACCCTGTTACTGTACGGGGGGCATATATTCACCAACTTGGTTTATAATGTCTTGCTACTGCCAAATTAAAGGGTTTCCTTAATCAAAACTGCATTATTGACCTGGAATCAGTTGGTCCTTACTTTTGCCCAAAATGACATAATTTAATTAGTGCATGATTCTAAATGTAGACACAGTTTTGTACACAAACTGCAAAGGACAACCTAGTTTTACTAGCTTCTTGACGTTTTGTACCAAGCACGTCTAAAATTTATTGTACTTTTTAAGAAAAAAAAAAGAATTGTAATAGCTAGGGCTTTGATGTCATCTCTTGTTATTGACTCGGCCTGATGTAATGTTAAATTCTCCCATTTTATTCATGAGTGTACGATGTAAGTAAATCAAATTGGAAGGAATTCAGCAGTTTATCAAGTCACTTGGGGCTTCATTCCACAAATCCCTTTAAAGTATTCTGCTGTCAAATTATAATGGGGCTGCAGATCTTCTTGCAGTGTTTGTTTTAGTACTTTTTAATCCTGGCCAAGAGTCAGTGACATCGCCGGCCTTGACGTTAAATCATCAGTCATTCAAATTGTACCTGATGTAGTGTAAAGTGAAAGATTTATCTGTGAGAGGCTTCCGAAAGTAGTTTTTCAGGTCAACATAGTCGTGCTTGTGACAATAATATCGTTTTCTTCTTCCTCTCCACACAAATGAGCTACAAATATATATTCAGTGTTGTCATGATAATATTGACATTTGTGGAGTCTTTGAGTATCTGACACTTTAGTGAGTGTATACCTGCCAACTTTTTCTGAGATGTAGGCGTGAGATTTTTATCCTGGGAGTGCTGGGATTTTTGAAAACGACACGATCACTTCCGAAGATTCCCGAAGAAGTCCGAAGTCTTCCGAAGACGTCCGAAGTCTGCCGAAGGCGAAGTTATCGAGAAAACGCTTATCCACAAAATCAGAGATCGCGAGGAAGGTATTGTCATTTAATATTCATTTTACACATGGTTTTCGTTCCTTACATGGGTCTGATTTAACATATTTTTGGAAATTGTGTCCAGCAAGACGGCAACAACTCACATTTTTCAATCAGGCGTGAGAAATTGGTCCGCAGGCGTGAGCGGGCGTGAGATCGAAGTTTTCAACCCGCAGGCGTGAGACTCACGCCTAAGGCGTGAGAGTTGGCAGGTATATGAGTGTCGTTTTAACCATTGCCAAGGGAGCATCACTAAACGGCCGTAAAAAGTGTAACTCTGACAAAATTTGTTCGCTATAACGAGATATCACCATATTGAGATTGTTTCCCATACATTTTACTATTACTGCAGGGGAAAAGAAAATTGTTTGTAATACCAAGGACTTTGTTATAATATACAGAGGTTCATTTACCCATTCGCCCATGGGGATTTAGCCGAAAAACGCTTTTTGAAGCTTGTCGAGTGGTTTTCTGGTCATTGTCGTGCGGTTAAGAGCTAAAACTTACCACAAAGCCGTTTGCAGGTCGTACTCTTCGAGGCCTTCTGATCCAGAAGCAAAAGTATCAGCTTGCGAAGTTCGGGCATGCGCAGAAAGTAAAATTTCGAGAGTTTTTGGGTTTAACAGTCTTGGCTTTCGCTGTCTCTTCTGTCCTCTTTTTTTGCTTTTCTTGCCTCATTTTTTTTTCTTTTGCTGAGCATTTAGTAGGCTTTATTTTGGTGGGAAACGTTTTTAGGAAAGCTTTTAGGATCTTAGGATGATTAGGTGAAAGAAAAGGCAGGGCGGTAGTGGATCGGGGTGGAACAAGATTTTCATGGAGATTTTCAGGTCAATGTTACATGGTTTTTTGCCTTTTTCTCCGGTGTCCTTGACTGAATTGTGCTCATTCTGGTATGGTTTGAAAGATCTCTTCACTCTGCACAGGTTAGCGGACAAAGTTGTCCTTGACCATTAAAACTGATGACGTCACAAGCGGAAGAGGGGACGTGGACCTGCACGGGCGGTGATGGGCGGCTCAGGGGCGAATGGGTTAAGCGGCCACCTATTAAGCGGCTACCCTCTATTAAGCGGCCGGTAATCAAAGTCACGAAATAATTATAGAAAAGAATGGGGAGTTGAACCTCTATTACGTGGCGGCCACCTCTTTTAAGGGGCCACACCCTCTTTTTGGCCGTCCTAATGGGAGTTCTCCCAATGTTGTCACCTCTTTTAAGTGGCCATCAAGATCGCCATCAAGAGCTTGAGAAACTAACTTTGGCGTCATTTCAAGAATGTGATAAAGGAAAATACAGTCCGATATAGGTGACAACCGATTCTGGACCAGCAATGCTGCTCCCATCGCATAATTATTTCAAGATAAAGTGATGTTTCTACTAAGAATTTTGCTAATTTACGACGAACCTCTCTTGAGCAGTCACCTCCATTTATTTAAAGGCCACTTGTTGGTACACCAAGGGTGGCATCTTAATGGTGGATCAAACCATACTTCCAAACATGCCTTGGTGGAAAAGTTCAAAACAAAAAACAATACGTACTTAATCATGATTACTGACCCAGGAACCCACCAGTAATGAAGCCTCACAGGACACCCATTGACTTACCTCTGGTGAATAATTTGCTGCTGGTTAGTACATGAATAAGAGGTCTAGCTGAAGCCAGATTCAACAGTGGGTTGATCATAGCTGAGCATGCTTAGCATATTAATTTTAATGTAGGTAGTATTTATAACTGGCCCCCAAACTTTGCGACTAGTATGTAAAAAAACTGACACAAACTTGTAGAGTAAGAGCAAACTTTATTCAATCTACTGTTATTTTTCTGGGTGGCAGATGTTCAATAAGCAAAAAGAGGATGACAAAATAGGATATTATGCAAGTGAACTTTCACGACAGTCTGACAAGAATGTGTTGCAAAAAAGCAATCTGGTTCTTCAGAAGAAGTTAAAGTCAAATCAAGATGGCAGTGGTCAGTTTAGTTGTCAACATCAGCATCATTCTTAGTTTCTGCTGCAACCGCATCACTTGCTTTATTTGATGCCTGTAGAACAGAATAAAAATAATTCATCTCTGTCACTGATTAGCATAAATTCCCCAGGCTAATTTTTTTATTACTATCAACTGCAGCTGACCAAATATGGAAGATAAACATTATTTTAAGTACAATTATGAAACAATATTACAACTGAATTTGGCTTTCAAAATTTACCCTGTAATATGAAGAATGCAGGGCCGGATCCAGGATTTCTTTTAGAAGGGGGTGCACTTGTCTTTTGCTCTAGTTCAACACCAATAAACCACATAGTTTTTTTTTTTTTTTTCAGAATACCAGTTGTATTAGAAAACCACTGGTCATCTCAGGGGGGGTGCACCCCTTGCACCCTCCCCCTAGATCCACCCCTGGAATGATATCAGGAACAGGAACTTAGGAGGGGTGTTACCCGCCACAACTACCTCCCTGTTCTACATTACTCTTGAAGCTGAATCAACGTAAGAATCAATTTGAGCACCTCATTGATTAAGTCATGTTCATAAAAAACAAAAAATTTAAGCCAGCAATTATCACTCGACTTGTGTAATGAATTCTAAAACTAAATCACCCTGCATGTGCACAGAATGCACTGACGACTCTCAAACTCTTTAAACATTCCTTTTCTTACCTTCTTTTTCTTCTTCTTTTGTGTTTTTCGACTTGCTGATGTTGCTAGGATACCCTGGAAATTATAGTCAAAGACCAAAGCAAAAATTTTTAATAACACCTTGATAACATCTAAACCATCAAACCAAGTGATTAATATCATTCTAGCTTTTTCATACTACTGGTCTTACAACATTGCAACCCTAACTATTTCCCGGTCCCTTATTATGTTTTTTGCAATTAATGGTGTAATGTTGATTATAAAATATCAGGTCCAATTGAGTCCATGGCAAAAGATTATAAATGGCTCAGCCAATTCCTAGGCAGCGCAGCTTCATTTCTACTCTGACTACAAAGTCTGAAATTATGGTTCGCGGTTGTTGTAACAGACAGATCTTAGAAGAGGACATTATTTACAATATTGTGGGTGGGGTTAGGGTGCTTGTACTTTCTTTCCACATGGTAATCTGCCCTTGCAAGCCGTTGTGTTGGACTGGATAGACGATGTGCATTTCAGAAAATTTATTCCTTGATTTAGCTAAGCCATTTCTAGGCTGGAGCCTGATTGAAAAGTGGGTTCTAACATTAGACACCTGTTAAGACGACTCATTAACTGGAGAGGGAGGGGTGACACTGTTTAACAGTGCTAAAGAAGATAATTTGCACAAAAATCGAATCTTTGAAAATAAAACTTTGTTTAATTCGGTAATGATGATAAAAAAATTAAGTGCATGAATGTCAGGTTTGTGTAAAATTAGATGATCACTACTGTATGTCTGTGAAAGGTTTACCTTGATTTCCTCATCTTGTATTGAATACTCTGACTGAATTATTTCTGGATCAAATGGCCCTTGTGTTATCCTAGAGAAAACAGTTGCATGGTGTAAATTATGGCAGTTTGTCAATTTTGTTTAGTTTTGCCAAAAATTGACCACAACTCCAGTGTATTACTAGCTAGGAATATTACGGTTCGCAAAGAAATAATTTAAGTGACAAAATCGCAGGTACCTCCTTGTAATTCAAAGTCACAGATGGCAGGGACTGATTAAGTTTGAAGAAATGCTAACTTGGGCCCAGTTCCTGAAAGGCTGATTAGCACTAATCCAGGATTAAAATCTTGTTCCATTTTTGTATTTTACCTTCCTATGAATTGCTTAGAGTCACATTTTGTGTTATCATTACTGTATTTTGGAGTAAAGGCCAAACAGTATTTTGTAAGCTTGAGTTACACGTTCTTATACAAGAAAACCCTTGCTTAAAATTTTGCTTAATCCTGGGTTAACCCTTTAAGTCCCAATAGTGACTAACGTCAATTTTCTCCTAATGATATCCATACAATGTCAAGCGATTAGGTTATGAGAATTAATAAAATGATCACCTAAGGGAAAATGCTCTGATCTTTTATCAAATTCTCTCAACTCATTCATGAAGGAAATGTATGGAGATCAGTTTGGAGAATTTGTATGTTGATATTGGGGCTTAAAGGGTTAAACAAGGAACTAGGCCCTAGAGAATGGGCCAGCCTGATCTGTACTCCACCTAGGAGGGCCCCTCTTCTGGTTCCCCTTAGTTCCTTGAGATGAGGGGATATGGGTCTCCCCACACCCCCCCCCCCCCCCTGAGACTGATCAGGACTCCTGTCCAGGGTGGTTACCCCCAGTACCACTTGATCTTCACTTCCCCCAGGATGGCTTCTCTCCTGGTTCTCTTACCCCAAGATTAGAGTGTTTCCCTGCCACCAAAATTTGTCCCATTACTTTCTTGAGGTGTTTTCTGTTTGGTATACTGCATAGAGCAATGCAAAACCATTCACCGATCAGCACAGTTTATTAACCTGTTAATCTTTCATATTGTCCACCTGTGCCTTTTTGTTAGCCTGCATAGCAGGTGCCAGTAATTATCTTATTACAGGCTGCGAGAGGGGAACACACAAAGGGGCGCCCTCTCCTTTTCTCCCCTCGCGCATCCTTGAGATTTGTTCCTTTGCCCTACAAAAACTGGTGCCTGAACAGGTGACTTTTTTGTCTTTCCTTTTCTTTTTAATTTTTCCTTGATGGTTTTATGCAGTTTTTTTAATGTCAGGATAGCCAGTTTCAAAATAATGTCCAGCAATGGTTAAATCACAGGACCACTTACGGGGCAACTAAAAAGTAATGACAAACTCTTATTCACCTGCTTGTGCCATTGGGCATTAGTAACAGTGTGAATTTAAACTGTGCTACGTATTCACCTGAAAAGAGAAAAATACAATAGTCAATGATCATGAAGAGATGCAAGAGCATTATGAAAAGAGGACAGCGATGGCAACTGGGACTTAAAAAAGCAAAACTTAAATAAGCAAAACAAAAACTCTGCATGTGCTTCACACTTTTTGTAAATTTCTATGCAATTTCTGGAGAACTAAGACATGAAATGGCCAAATCTTAAGTTAACTTGACAACAGGAACAGCAAGGCGATCAATATCTACTATCTCTGTCTGAACTTGGGTGCTGTTCCCTCCCTTCAGTCCAAGTTTAAAATCCCTTCTTGGATGCAATAATGTGCAAGCTTAAAGTTTAAGACCAGAACTGACCTTCCTTTTCCCAAAGGACATTAAAGGGTTCTACAAGACCGTGCTGCCTGCACTCCACTACACCCATTTTTGCCTTCTTCTCATCTTCAAATGCTCTGTTGAAAGATTACCAATAATAAGAAAGTTGGTGTGGTACTACGGGAAGATGCCTTTTCCCTCTTTCCATTGTTGCCTGGGCGCTTGCTATACACAGGCACTACCACACAGGCACACAGGCAGGGTTCTCAATAGCACACAGGCTGGGATTTACCTTACTTTGTGTTTAAGTCCTTTTCTTTGCTTTGTTTTGACAATGTTTTGAATACCCCTAAAATCACCTCCAAAAAATCTAAGAACCCTGACCCAAAGAAATTCTTCACAATGTTTTGATCTAAAAATTTAATCAAACCCCACCCAAAGAAATTCCAGTATCTTTCCTTTGATCATCCCTGTCAATTGAAATCAGGAGTCAAAATCAGAAAAAAAGCAGGATGGGAACCAGCAACAAGCAACAGAATACTTACCGAAGTGTAAAAGGCATACTGGTAAATTTGTTACACACATCACTAAAGAAAACTGCAACAAAAAGGTGTTGTTTAAGAATAGTTCCAAATAGAACTGTGCCTCAAAGCCAGTTGGGGTTTGAGCAAGGTGACTTATCCCAGTTTCTGTAGCATGCAGCAGCTAGAAATATTTCTACTCCCCTCTGCAGAATGGCATGCTAATCCATAGCAGGGTTGACCTCAGCATTTGCTGTTACCCATTCACACACACCGGGTGAAGTGAGGCACTTTGGGAGTAAAGTGTCGTGACCAAGAACACAACATAGTGACCCCAACCTGCAGGGGTGAGCCTGGATATCTCAGTCTGGAGTCTAAAGCAATAATCATCAGAGACTTGCCCAAGAAAATATTATTTTCAAAAACCATATGTAAATTAAATGATGTGAATTAAAATGGTTTTTGCTAGCTTCGTTTTTCCATATGCTATAGTCCTGGCAAGAAAGAGTGCCTTGGTTGAGGGGCTTAACATTCATGTAAGTGCTAAATGTACTATATGGATGGTAAATTTTCCACGACAACTCACACATTTAAGCATTTACACTGTACAGTAACCCACATAGGATTAGAGCCGACTCGGCTTCAAATAGTATAGTACGTTAGTTACCCGGTATTATAAAAAATTTTTTAAAGTCTGCATACCTCTAGATGCCTTCATTTTCAAACTGTATGCATTTTCAGTTTTCTTGTAAACTGTTGTTCGGGTGTCTTTATCTTTAGTCTTCCCATCTCCTGTGCTGACAAGGATATCGACTGCGAACACATCATGTACAGCGAACTCACATTTGGGATGGTCTTTCCTGTCAAAATCAACAACTCTGCTACTTACAGTCTGTCAAAATGGCCAGGCCAAAGTAGGTAAAAAAAAACATTGAACAAAAATCTTAATTCAAGTAATGTCATGATCGCAACTCTTTACCCTTTAAAAAATGGATTACCTGAGTTGTTCTGATGGATTGAGAATAATTTGTTTTTCACCATCTATGACGTTTCGTTTCAGTTGATGCGATAACATACCTTGCAAAATAAATAAAAAAAATTACAAAATATTATTCAAAGAAGTTGATGAATAGCACTTTAATAGAGTACTGCGGCTACACAAGAACCAAGACAAGACAGACTTGTAACTGAAGTTGGAACAAGACTGCTCCATGAGGGGCGTGAAAAGCCATTTACGTTTATATCTGGTGATTACCACTGTCTCTCAACTGAGATGGGATTTTTATCTGCCAAAAATTTGAAACAATCTCTTGAGCTTGCTACACTTGTGCAGTGACTTCATCTACCACAGACACAGTAGCTGTCACAGATATTTCAAGTTACCAGATAATTAGTAGGTAGGGAATTCAACAAATAAAAGAAGAGTTTAGTTCCTGTTGCATTAGTGCCAGAGTGAAATACAAAGATTTGGTATAAGGCAGATTGGCCACCACAGAGGGATAGAGTGGCCCATTAAGACCAAGCGCTAACAAAGATCTTGCTTGCACTAATGAAGCGTTAGCGTTCAAAACATCAGCTTCTCCATCTTCCTTCAATGACCGATCTACCTTATTAACTCAGTTGTATAAGCAAATTGGGGAATTGAACATCTATTTCCCTCTTCTCTCCTATAAAAACAGCCAATGAGCAATGCTCATAGTGAGCTAGGGGAAATCCCTGGTAATTTCATGACATCCCTGTCACTTGAATGTGTAATTTACAAAGGCTGATTTTTTTTACTAATAATAACAACCAAGAATACTTAATAGTACCTTCAACAGGCTTGCATTGAAATGCCTCTGCTACTTTTTGTATTTGATCTGTTACTGTATAGTTCTGCAACAATAATGTAATGTCGTGTCAAGTTGCAATTTCTTATTTTAAAAAATTTACAAAATATGTTAAAGAATCAGTACCAAATGACCTAACAAAAACATGAACACCAGAGGATGGTACACACTGATTTGAAGGTTAGATCTTCCATGTACCATGTAAAATCATAAAAATCTCAATACAAATTATCCAGGATTCCATCCAGATATAAGAATCACGTCATATATGGTAATGTACAGTACCCTCCGCAGCCACCTTTTGAATGATGCGTAGGGATGATTCATTTGTGGCATATGCACAGGGTACCCAGTCTAAGATTACAATACTGGTGCTGTTACTACAGAAAAGATAGAACCAAACCTTTATTATAATGAGATGATGCCTTACCTCATTACCCGCCTTGACGAGTCTTTGAGCTACTTCAGAAGCTAAGTATGCTGCTTGAATCACATCAGCTTTGCGACCTGTCACTTTATTGTCCTGTGAAACATTATTACCGGTATATTATAAAATGTTTATGGTGTTCATGAAGTGTTAATACTACATATGGGGGTCGGATTCACCACTTTCACAGGAAGTGTGTTGCAAAAGCACCAGGACCTTTAAGGTGCGCTGAGCTGAATATGACAGGAAACAACCTTTGTGTGCTGCATAGGAAACCAAAGAATGTCAAATATTTTCAGCCATCACTGCCATATTAGACTGTTTGGAAGATATGTCCTCTTCTCAGAATACCCTAGTCACATAATCCAAGAAAGTAGCTTAATGATAAAATGGGATTACCCCAGGATTTTCAGTAGCATTTTCAGCTTACTTTTGATGCTCCCACAACAATTGTATGTCCAATTACTGCAATATACCCATCAATATGAACACCAAAGTCTCTGAAAGAAAAGAAGGAAAATAATAAACTTCACAGCATGAAGCAAAAAGCTCTTTGTCTATCATTACCCTCTGAATATTTCAGTAGACCATTCCATAAAAAAGGTTTGTCATAGTAATCTGCTAATAATCTCCACCCATGCAGAGGACCCCTCCTCCCAGTTCAGCCTGCAGGGACTTTAAAACATGTCTGCCCCTTAGCCACTGAAATTCCATACTGATGGCATAAATCAATGTGTCCATAATAAATCTGGTAGCTTGGGGGTTCCAAATGTAAATTTTTTCTGTTTTATGTTTCCCCAGTCGATTATGGTAAAGTTTTGTGTTCTTGTACGAACGAGCTCCAGCAAAACTCAAATGCTTCTTCTAAAGAAATATATATATTCTTCAAATATTGACTGTATTGTGGTGGATTCATTGCGTTTACATTTGACCTTTGTAGCCTTTTGTCTTCTGTCTGTCACTCATAAACAGCAGCTATAATGTAACTACTACATCAACCAATCAGAGCTCCTGAGCAGACTCCGGACAGATTTTATGTCATCGGTATGGAATTTCTGCAACTGAGGCACAGATGTCCCTCTTGGCGAAGTATCCTTAGCAGAGAGGAGACAGGAGAGACAGCTGTTTTTGCAGGCTATGTCCAGTTGTCTGGGACAAGATTAGTGGAGTTCCTGCTGGGTGAGTAACTTTTCTTGCCCACTTATCCAACGGGCAAGGGTAATTGAACTTAAAAAAAAAACATAAACGAACCTACGAAAGCTTGTAATTGACCCAGGAAAGCAAAATTTGAGGGCAACTAGTTTAAAGGATATGGTGGTATTCAAAAGCCCTGCACCCATCATTCAAGTAACTCTGCCAAGAATTTGACACCAAGGATAAAATCTAATATTTATCTATCCAGGTGCAAAGAAATTAAAGTCAGTTTTACAGTTTGCCATTCAGGCAAGCTGTAGCTAGCTAGCATGCACTAGCTGGAAATTCATCTCAACTAGCCCCAAAAGCTTTTTGATAAGCAGGATTGATTACACAGTTCTTATGTAATCTCAGTTCCTCAAAAAACTTCACTTGCCTGTCGGGCAAGTTAAGAACAGAATTCACTACCCCGATAGCAAAATCCACTAGTCCTGGGCTATCGGACACTACTTTCTTTGCCCACTGTCTATTACAAAAAAGTTGCAAGCTTTGTCTGCGTGGACACTTATCCCTAGGTATATGAATTAACAATGAATAAAATGCCAACGTCTTACATCTTGACAAGGTCTCCATCCTGTAAAGTGATATCCGGCTCACTCATAAGAGGTGAAAAATGACAAACACAGTTGTTTACTGAGATGCATGTTGGGAATGCAATACCTGGGAAAAAAGGGAGAACCATTGGCAAAACATATAAACAATGCAGAAAGAAAATTTCAATGGCCGCAGCATAGCATTTCAACCAACTGACATCAAGGGGTGAGAAAAATTTGCAAACCCTAATTAGATACCTCCAAAGTTGAATGGCTGAGTAGAGGATGGGCCCAGAGTTTCTTTAAAATTTCATTACTCTTGATCTAAAGACAAATCCTTCTCTTGTTTCACAAGATAAATAAAAGAACTTGGAACGAGAATGCCAATTATCAGCAGTCACTTTGGGCTATTTTCCCAGCATCCCTTCATTATTGACTCCAAAAGAGAGAGAAAGAAGATCAAGATAAAAAGTCGCCACTTTACCTTTCTTGAGTTCTTTCTCTTTTTTATACACTTTACCAGTTTCTTCCTCGATAAGGTTATCTCCTAACTGACAAAGGGTTCGTGCTGTAGTTTCTGCAGTTGCAGCCTCTATGATTTTCTTAAGTATACCTTTTATACAACACACACAAAAAAAATAATCTATGGTAAGGTGAAGTCTACAAAACTGCCTAGCCTGGGAAATTTCTGATTTCATGCATGCTGGCTGCTTGGAGGTGAATAGCACATGGCTAATCATCTCGGAGCAAACCAATTGCCAATCCCTGTGCATGAAAAGCTTAATAATACAGTACTGCCAAAAAAAAGAATGGTTGTTCATTGGAGAAGTGAGCAGCCATGAAATTAAGACAAAGGTTTTCACTTGAATAGTTATAGTTTATCCACTTACTAAAAAAAGTTAACCATCTTATATAGCATAATAACCAGTACCATAAGGACAAATATTGCCCAGCCAGTCTGCAAAGTGTATAACAAGTACAAGGCTTGTTTTTTGCTAAAACGTTCGTTGTGCTCGAGATCTCATTGAAAACTGCCATACTCTCCAGACTAGTTGTTAAGCATTTTATATTTTAATGGTTGCACTTTATTTATATACTGCACTCATTGCTGTAATGAAATCCATATTTATTCTGGGGATGACAGTTATTTATGCTGATTTTCGAGCTTGCCGTTAACAAAATGTAACTAGGACACGTCTGTTGTTCTCTCATCCACAATAATTGAATATGGAAGATTTGAGACTCATTTGCACTTTTAGATCGACGCATAGCTTCCTTTCAACCACAGCTTCATATATAAGATTATAAAACTCATTGGTGACATTAATTCCCTACATGATATGAGAGGTACCTGTCAGAAGCTATTACTTAATTATGATATACTTAATTAAAGTAAGAATATCCAAAACATGATTGAGGCTCGATTTCTATAATTTGAAATGACAAGGAAAAAAGGTAATCAAATTATAGCGAGATGAGAGTAGGAGAGGACATCCGTGACGAGGTTATATCAAATGTACAACGTTTGTACATGGTTTAACGTTAAAATTTTACTCAAGCTTTGTAGCACTTTTTCCCAACGCGACAAGCTTAAAGTACAAGGAGTGGAGGGAAATTCGGTTACACCAACGGATGAAGGGAATAGAGTAACAGATAAATGAGCATAGAATGTTAGATTTTCTGGTCCGACAAAACAAGAGGAAGTTGGTAGAGCGAACACGCCGCCGGTACGAGCTGACATCATATTTGGAATATTCAATCAATAAAACACTAAAAACTTGACACCACACTTACGGTTTGCCATATCGCCAGCCATCTTGTATTTCGTAACAACGACATCCTCGGCAATAGTAGGATCTTCCTCTTCACCCGAATCGCTTCCTTTATCTGCCATTTCACTGAAAAAAATGTTTTTCCAATCGCAATGAAAACCTTCGAAGATGGCGGCCTATTTGCACGTGGGAGAATGGAATAAGTGGTACCCAGGATGCCGTGATGCCGTGCTCAATTTGGCGGGTATTTTTCCTTACCCCTCTCTAGACGGTAACGCAAAATCCAACAGAGATGGGGAAAGGAAGATTGACCACATTATTTGGACAGTTAGTACTTCTTGTATGCCTAGGTGTATTGTCATAAATGTTACGTGGCCAGCAATTTTGTGGAGGGGGAACATTCCCATAGAAACTTTTGAATTAAATCTTGTTATAAACAGTAAAGTGACTTCAGCAGTGGAAGTAACCATGATTAAAGCTGTAATACTCATTGGAGGTCCTATGAAAGGTAAATTATTGCTTTCTGTTGCAAGACACAAAAACTCTAGTTGGCTGCATACTCCGACATGCATGCAGCTTATTTTCAAAATTGTATTTTGACCTTTCTTTCTTTCATCGTTATAGGAACAAGGTTCCGGCCTCTTTCTTTGGAGTTGCCAAAACCATTGTTTCCTATCGGAGGATTTCCAGTCGTGTATCATCACATTGAAGCTTGCAAGAAGGTATAATCTTTTGGAATCTAGATGATTCAGCTGTTCTCACTAAAATACTATAGTTTATTTACTGCACTTATGAGAAATTTTCATAACTTAACGCTAAAGAGATCGGATAAATAAACCTTAAGCAAGCTGAACAAATTTGAAGTACTGATCGTATGAATAGAATTCTACAGATTCAATCTATGAGCAAAAACCAGTAAAAACAGCTGTTACGCAGCGAGAAAAACCCCCTGACCTTTGTCACGTTTTCTTCATTTCCAAACGAACTTTGGCATGTATTTAGTTTGGGGACAAGTCTGGTTCTTATATTGTTATTCTAAGCAGAGAATAAAAAGTGAAGAGAAGGGAGCGTATGGCTGTAGAATTTACTAGGACACATGTTTTCTTTTAAATTGTTCAAATGCAGAATTTGACATTTCTACTCAACTATTGTAAGCTGTCATCCTATTTTCTTGTGAGGGAACTTGAACAAATTCAACAGTATCAGAAGGGAAAAAAAGCACCAATGAATTTAATTCCTGTTCTTTATTTTAAACTTCACTGCAAATATTTTTCTGAATATTCTAAGGCCTGTTTCAAACTTTGCGCTACTGCCGTGCTAAGCTGGCTCGACTGTAGCTCAACTGCAGCACAACATTAGCACGACTTGGTTTCAGACGTCGAATTTAATTCAGTCGAATAGAACGGCTGTTGCCGAAAACAAAGCACAAAAATAAAGAAACGGTTTGGCAAACTTTTAAATGTATTCTAATGTATTTATAATTTATGAATTGACTTGCCGTGCTACAAGGCAGTAGCACGACTTGGTTTCAAACGTTGCGCTACTGCCATGCTAAAGTCGAATTTAATTTGATCAATTAAGTTCAGAATATTTTGAAAGGGGCCTATTCCCAATTAAAATAAAATTTCCCAAGGTAGAAAAATAAGGAAATATTTGATTGTTGTACTTCATGTCACATTATAAGAGATTTTCATGTCATAGCTTTGCAGAGCATTGCAAAGAAAATGAGCCAAATAGCATGATACATTAATTTTTCGGTTTTTATTTTAACTTACTAGACCTTTTGTTGGCATTTGTCTACTGACAGTTAGCCAACAGTATTTTATTAAAGGAGCTGTTTTTCATTTGATTTTCAATCTGATATAATTATTTCACAGATTCCAGACCTCAAAGAAATAATCTTGATTGGATTCTACCAGTCGAGTGAAAATTTGTCAAAGTTTATCACAAATGCCCAACAAGAATTTAATATTCCCATCAGGTATTATACAATAAATTCTTGTACTCTTGAAAGTCATTATTATATTAATATTAATATAGCGACCTTTTTAAGGATTTGGCTCCTGATCTGCTATTGATTGGAAATACTATCAATAGTAAAAATTATAAAGGCTGACGGCATTATTGACCTACATGTAAATGACTATTTTACCCCTTATTTGTAATGGTTTTTTCAGCTCGTAGGGGCTTGAATAGACGTTTCCACCTCATTTTGTTTTAAATGTTGACATGAACTAGTTGGCATACAGTTCCTCAAAATGTGTAAACTTGCCAAGTTTGAGGGTGATAAAGTGAAACCCAGTTAATACAGACACTGAGGGGGCCATAGAATGTGTCCGTGTTAACAGGGTGTTTGTATTAAGGTGCGGTTGAATTTAGAGAAAATGTATGGCTTTTTTTTGACAGGGATAAATCAAACTATAAAAAATTGCATAAAAACTTTTCTTAAAAGCATTTAAGACGTTTTAAAACGTTAAAGAATACATGACGTTTTGACTTTACCGGACGTCATTATCAAGTGAAAAGAAAACACAATGTGAATGTTCTATAAATACAAGAAAAACAATAGTTCATTAAAAGGAAAGTAACATATAAAAACATGTTACAAGACAAACAAAGAGTTTTGCGCTGATGGGGTCACTCTGAGTGTTAACTCTGGGTCCAAGTCCCTTCTTTTTAATACAGTCAACTCCCACTAAGGTGGACACCTTTGGGACTGGCAGTAAGTGTCCGTCTTATAGAGAGTCAAATAAAGGGAGTAAAGAAAGGTAGGGACCAACTCTAGGTGTCCGTTTTAGGGAGGTGTCCATCTTATAGAGGTGTCCGTGAAGAGAGAGTTGACTGTAAATCAAACTGTCCGAAATATTGAGGTGTCTGTAGTAAGGGGTTGTCTGTAAAGCAGGGTGTGACTGTATGTCAGAAGCTTATGAAGATATAGCTTTGCAAACTGGCAAAATTTCACAGCCATTTGTATGGTGGGTGGCTCAAACTTTCCCCACCATTCAGAAATCGATAAAAAATTGTATTATTTTGTAGAGCCTCTCAAACTTCTTAAGTTTTCAACATACCACTGACGGATGCACATTTGTAATAAGAGAGTAAAAATAAATGCAATCCTTCCTTGTCGAAGTTTCTGCTTTAAATAGTTAGTCACTGTATAAAATTAATATTTTTATACAGATATCTACAAGAGTTCCAGCCACTTGGTACTGCGGGTGGTTTGTATCACTTTCGTGACCAAATATCCATGGGAAATCCAGATGCATTTGTGGTCCTGAATGCAGACATCATGGGTGACTATCCTTTACAGGAGTTTGTTGAATTTCACCAGCAGCATTTGGGTGAACATTCAATCCTGGCCACAGAGGTAAGAATTTTGTTGTCACAGTAAGAACTGTAATCATTTTGTTGTAACCACGGAACCTGTGTCAGGCAGTGGTTTTGTTACAAATAGTTTTGGTGAGTTCTGGGACTCAACTTGTGAAATGTCAGGAGTCCAAGTCCAGAACCAATGAGTCCCGGTTTAAGAAACAACGAGTCCAAAATGGAAATGCTTGGAACTTTATGTAACCGGACAGTTAATATGAAGACTGAGTCCCAAACTCTCTAATACAGTTTACTAAAATTAAAATAATATAGTCCTTTTATTTAAGGTGGAAAAAGGACTAAAATTAATATGCATCACTAAACAACAGCCACCAAAATCACATAAACAGGATATTCTACAAAACCATCTTCAGATTGATCAATCGATCTTAGCTTTGGGTCCTATGGGATGCATGTCATGAATTATTTTGCATCTTTCAGGATTTTTTAAAATGCATTAAAATGCATCAGGGATGAAGGACACTAGAGTACCAAAATCACTGGTTAGTGGGGCCCCGTTGAAGAATGCTCTAGTGTCCACATAATACAAGGTCACCATGCTGGCTTAATGCAGCTAGGTTTCAATAGATAACAGCGATGGTAGAAATGTTTGGCATACCCTTAGAGACTATGGTGGTATATGTTTGCTCTTTACATCTCATACACTGTCTTTGAAGAGATCAAATGAGTAAAGCAAGCTCTATGCAAACAAAACAAAACGTTTTGTGTATTTAACAGTAGTGATGCAAACTAAACATTTTAAGTCAAGTCACATTTCTGAAGGTAAAAATTGATAAATTCTTGTGTGGCAGTCTCGAGCATAAAAGGTCATGGATCATTGAGAGAACAGCAGGCGTGCCCTCTTTACACATGTTAACATGTTAATAGTAAGGTTGACGTCAGCATAGAAGGGCACCCTCACTGGCGGCTGCTATCAGTCCATTTACAAGGTTACTGTCACCCACCCAACCCATGTTATGAATGATATGTGAAAGGCAGACCACACCACCGGGGAAACTTTCCCCTCTCTTTTCGAATTGCAGTGCGATTTCTTTTAAGTCCCCTCAGGGTTCTCATTAACTGCCAGCAACCGTCTAAAAAACCGCCTATTTTGAGGTCTGAGCTGTCTACTTTTGTGGGAAAGTGGGTCAAGCGAGGGAGTGAAAGCCTCAAATTGCCTACAATACTTTTGATTACCATTAGCCACCTACTTTTACATCCTAGCTGTCTACTTTTAAGACTTAATGAGAACCCTGCCCCCTTCGATTTGACCAATGAAACTTCTGAATTTATGTCACTCTTAAGCCTATTTAAAAGTAGAAAACTAATCCAGTAAAGAAAAATATCACTTAATATAAATTATGTTTCTTTATCCCCCAGGCAAACAGAAAACAAGCTCATAACTTTGGTTGTTTAGTAGAAGACCCTGACACACACAAGGTTAGAATTAACGTGAAGATTTTGCAGTGACAAGTTAACTTGTTTGAAATCACTGTCTGATATGAAAACTGCCTGTAGCAGTGAGCCCTTGTAATGTAGTGTTGCACGGAATTGGACTGATAATAATCTGTGTGCCATGAAGCAGGCACAAAATAACCCCGATTTTCAATGTATTCTATTTACAGTGTAGTACACACTATGGGACACATTGCACGATATTTTTGCAATAATTATATCCCCCCATGTGTCCTAACCTTTATATTAAAAATTTATATTACTGTCAAACCTCCCGTTAGTGACCACCCAAAATGCAAAGACTGAGTGGTTGCTTACGTGAGGTGGTCCCATACAAGAATCAAACCACATGGGGTCTCTTCCGAGAAGAGGTCCAGACACGTCTACTTTATGAAAGATATTTATTGGGATGCAATGTCTAAGTTACGCCATGTGTAATTCCACATTGTCACTAAGGTTCTTCATATATTCTTATAGTAGCATAGTGCACACAGCAAACATAGAGATCAGAGAATGCATCAAGTGGTCGCTTACAAGAGGTTAAAAAAAACAATGGAAAATCATGAACTGTCAGGCACAAAAAGTGGCCGCAGTCGCTTGCAGGAGGTGGTCATTTACTAGAGGTTCCAACTGTAATGCTTTGACTGGGAAAATTTTGGTGTTTTGGATTGGCAGTCGCTTATGGGAGGTGATCACTTACGAGAGGTGGTCGCACATGGAGTTTTGACTGTATTATTATTATTATGATCATCATTATTATTATTATATTATTATTATTATTTTCTGTGTTACAGCACATGTGACAAAAGATTCATTGCCACATTCACCTTCAGGGAGCTTTGTTACTTGAGGGAGAAATCAATAAAATAGGCCTTTTGTTTTAGTTGATCACGTGATCAACTTTCTGTGAACACGAAAACAGTTCACTTTTGAGAAATTTTGTTAGTAGGAACTGAAAGAGCATATTAGAATTAGGAAACCTGTAAATTTTCAGCTGTATATCATTACAATGGCTGCCGAAAAATAGAAGAATTTGTATGGGAAAAACAACTCTTGCCACACAATCAAGCTTGAGTAGTTTTCCATACAAATCCTGGTAAATTTCGAAATGGTCAAACTGTTGTAAAATATTTTCTGAAGCATTTTGGGGCTCAAATCTCCATATTTTTATTCATAATAGGCACTAATTGAGCCCTTAAATGCATAAGGGCAAGATTTAATGACAGTGTAAAACATTTCAAATTATTTTTGAAATGACCAGTGTAACATAATTATTCATGTATAACATATATATAAATTATTTCATTATTGTTATTTTTCAGGTGTTGCATTATGTTGAAAAGCCAGAAACTTTTGTTAGTGAAGTCATAAACTGTGGTATTTACATCTTCTCACCAGCTAGCTTGTTCAAACTCATGGGAGAAGTACTTCAAAAGAATTACCAGAAAATGAGGTACTAGTTTATGATTCTATACTAGTTTTAGCTATCACTACATGTTGTAAGTGCCAATGAGTGAAGAATTTACCTATACGGACACGCTCTTCAATTTGTTTAGAAATGTCATGAATTACCATAATTTACAAGAATTTAGGCTGCAGGTTAGTCATGTGTCCATCAACTTTCCTTAGACAGGGTGTCTAGGTTTTGATGCCTGCATAGGGAATACCTGTTGAATGTCAAAATGAAATTCAGGTTTAAATGGTTTCAAACTATACAGCTGCTCTAGTTTAATTCAGCACAGAATCCTTATTCTAAAATAAGTTCTTTTGTTGCAGTGTTGAACCATTTGCTGGTAATGTCGAGTCAATCAGGATGGGTGAGGATGTTCTTGCCAGTTTAGCAAATTCAGGGACCCTGAACGCATTTAAGACAAGTAACTTTTGGACTAGCATCAAAAGTGCGGGGTAATGATCTTTTCTTGATTTCTTCACACTGAAATTTTTAGTTTGACTAAAAGAAACTTGAATTACTAGAGATTTATGCCTATTCAAAGTAGACAGACTGCAAATCATCTTAGTCACTAAAAATATATATATCTACGCGTCGCAACTGTTCATCAGTAGGATGCCTAAAATGCGTGCAATTCCACAATTGGTTTCGGCTCCATTAAATCCTATACCAATTGCAGAACGTTTTAGGAGGAGCCACCCACCATGTGAGCACAGTCATGGACAATGTATAAGTGAGGAAAATAACGCAAAGTAAAATTAAGACGTTAATAAACGAACTAAATGTACACGTCAATTAAATAAATAAACAAATAATGCGCGCGCTCAAAATAAAATTGTATGCGCACACGTACCGAGATAATCGTTAACATGGACGTGAAGGCCCGAAGTAGGAGAGGTAACCTGCTCAGGTGGGGTGAAAAAAATAACCCACCGTTTAACATGCAATCTTACAACCCCACCATTCTGGGGTACACTTTCTCAAGATTAGGGAACTTAAGCAACAACGATGGCAATGGCAACAAGAACGTCAAAAAAGCAATAGGTTTGATAAGCAAAACAACAGCTCTGCATGTGAATCACCCTCTTTTGTACATTAATTTGCCATTGTTGCAGGACTACGGTGTGAAAAATCTTGAACACAAGATGACCCTCTTTTTCTTTTTCTGAACTTTGATACTGTCCTTTAGAATTCAACTCCCGAAAAATTCGCCAGCATTTGATAAAATGAACGAGATGTAAAGCACAACAAACTTTGAAGCAGCATGAACACACTTAATTTTGAGTGACGTTTTTGTAGCTCAGTGCCGCCGTCGTTGTTGCTTAAGCTCCCATTTGCTAACCGTAAATATGAAGAACTGTCTTACCCCCAAAAAATCCGAAAATGTGCAACCCCATTCTTAGCTTGACTAGTAACTAGAAAATAGTAGAAAATGCGACCCCATCCAGTGGCACATCCCCATTGGCCTCTTATAAGGAAGTACCCCCCCCCCCCTCCCAGGGAATAAAGAAGAATGTCAAATGATGTTTAAGCACCGGCTGCCTTTGTGTCATCAGAGAGGCATCCTCCTGTGTTTACCGTACGTGTTAGTTAGTCTCAGTCTTAATGTGCTGCTGAGGTATCTAGATAATAAAATAACATGTTTTTTTTGTTTTTAACAGGTCTGCAATTTATGCAAATAGAAATGTTCTTTCTTTGTATCACAAGACCCACCCAGATCTCCTGGCACAAAATGGAAAGGAGCAACCTCATATAATAGGTATAACTTGAGCTTTTCCCTCATTTGTAAAAGCAGAATTCGTAAAAATGATGTAAGCTCAGTGATAGATGATGGATGTAAAAAAGGGCTGTTCTCTCTGTTCATCATAATCATTAAATTTTACAATTCTCCTCAGTCTTGTAGCGAACGTTACTCATTTTAGGTTCTCATTAGATTGTAATACTATCTATCTATCTATCTATCTATCTATCTATCTATCTGTCTGTCTGTCTGTCTGTCTGTCTGTCTATCTATCTATCGATCTGTCTGTCCGTCGGTCTTCCCGCCCGCCCGCACACCTGCCCGCCCCTCCATCCATCCATCCATTTCTGCCGTAAGATTATAGTTGGCTAAAAACCTGTCCAGTTCGGTATTAATTTTTATGTGTAGAACATAATAGATCATAAAATAAATGTTAACATAATTTATTGTTTTGTTGATTTTAAGGTGATGTGTATATTCATCCAAGTGCAGTTGTTCACCCAACAGCAGTGGTATGATTTCTTGTTGTTTTTGGTGCATCTATGTCTAAAGTATGTCTTTTATGTACAAGGTAGAAAGAAAATAAAACAACTGCATGTGGAGGTCGGAAGCCCGCGATTTCCAGGGGTTTTCATCACTGAACATGAACCAGGCCCTAGATCAAGATGGGAGTAGCCTGCATACAGATGCCCCCTGCCCTAAAAAAAATGTCGGGGAGACAGACATCTGTGGAACACAATTAACGTTGGCACAACACAGACGTGTAGCTCTTTCCCTGAATTTTTTTGAGGGGAGGGGGTATCTGTACACAGGCTATAGGTCAAGTAGTGCTCCCATGCATGGCTGGCAATTTGTGCAACTGAGCCATGAGCCCAATGCAAGGCATGCAAAAGCACCTTTCACACTGACAAGAAGTGGAAATGGAGAGGAGAGGAGAGGGGAGTGCAATAAACTGAATGCAAACAGGATAAAATGGCTGCAAATCAAAAGCAATGGGGATGCTGATGGCGATGGCAATGAGAAAGTCAAAAAAGCAATAGGTTTAGATTAGCAAAACAATAATTTTGCTCATGCATCCAGATTTTTGTTCATTTTTTTGCCATCACTGCATGACTACTACTTGAACTTCGATACAGTCCTTTAAAATTCAACTCCAAAAAGGTTTGCCAACATTTGACATTCTGAAAGAGATGAAATAAGCACTATTAAGTTTGAAGCAGTGCAAATTCAATTTTAAATGGACATTTTCCCATCCATTGCCGTCGTCAGTGCTTAAGCTCCCTGTCGTAACTTTCTGCATTTAACTGCATGGAAATAGTTTAATCTTTCTGCTTCTAAATTTCTGAGTGTCTTAATGACTGCCTTCGTGACTATTATATTTTTGGTCAAAATAATGAGGAGACTGATGTAAGGTGCAGACCTGTTAACTTTATACGTGCTGTTACTATTCTTTTCCAGCTTGGTCCCAATGTATCTGTTGGTAGCAATGTAGTAATAGGTGCTGGAGCCAGAGTCAGGGAGACAATCTTACTTGATGGAGCTGAACTCAAGGTATATTTTGTATTTATGGCTACAGCTAGGATATACAGAGGCCTTGTAAGGGTAAAATTCCGACAAGCAACATCGCCTTGAAACAGTGAGATAAGAAACTCTGAGATAAAATGCTGAGAAACGACGTACCAAGATGGGTTGAAAATGTGACAGTGAAGAGAACAGTCGCAAATACAATAGTAAAATGCTAACAGTGACTTGGTATCCTCCTCAATATGCAAAACAGCTAGTTTTGAAATTCAGACTAGGAAAAATAACATACATGTGTACCCCCCTATTAAAGAGGGATTCATATACATGTAGCCACACTCCTCCCCTCCCCCTGCAGAAATTTTTAAGAGGGTCAGTTGAGGAGCACTCTTAATCTGAAGTTTTAAATAGAGGACAGTTTGAAACTAAACTGTAATTTCCAGGGGGGATGGAGGGGGTGGGGTTAAGCTACCCCTACCACCCCGCTCCCCCAAAAAAATCCATAGGGAAGGTAAGCATATTTTCTGGAATTGATTGAAAGCCATTTGAGTGCTTTTACTTGATTACAACCTTTATGAGGGGTTTGGAAGTAATCTTGTTTGATAGAGCCATGGTTCGTACAATCTTGTGTGTCTTAGCCAGTAGGGTGATCAAAAGGGGGTTAAAGAATGCTGATTAAATTTTTTATTAAGCATACATTAGCCTTTGAAAACTGTTATTTGGCCTTGAAAAATCCTTGAAAAGTCCGTGAAATATTTGTTTGTCTGAAGTTGTAAAAACCATGAGAGCTAAATCTCGTGGTAACAGGGACTTCATTTAAGATTAATGCTGTCCTGAAACTTTGTGTTTAAAAGCTTGAGGTGGGAAGGCAGATTCAAGATAGTTCATAGCATTCACATTATTTGACTTTTTTCTGTGTTTTCAGGATCATTGCTGCATTCTGTATAGCATCATTGGTTGGAATTGTTCCATAGGGGTGTGGTCACGAGTAGAGGGCAGTCGATGCGACCCAAACCCAAATGAAGAGTTTGCTAAACCAGATGGAGAATCCCTATTTGGTAACAATGGCAAGTTAACTCCATCAATCACTATACTAGGTAATTAGTTCTTTCTGTTTTCCCTCTTATTTTCCCCATTTTCCTATTTGCTACATTTTTATTTACCAAGTACAATAAATTGATGTTTCCAAGTATAAGGTGATCTTTTTGCTTTTTCATTTCCAGGTCGAAATGTAACAATACCAGGAGAGGTCATAGTTCTAAACTCAATCGTCCTGCCACACAAAGATCTTAGTCAAAGTTACAAAAATGAAATCATCTTGTAATAGGAAGCAGAAAAATACGATAATGTACACTATGTTAGGGTATAAGGCACTACTATTGCAAGCTGAATCTATTTTATAATAGGTAATGAAAGTGGCTTGTATTTATGTTGGAATCAGGGTCCTGCATCAGGGCTTTCATTTAGGGTCGGGGGTCGGGAGCCAGGGATTTCTCCTGTCTACAACAATCATGACCCCTGGTTACATCGATAGGGAACAAAGGGAATATAAAACCCAAAGAACCTTCATAGTTCTTTACTTCCCCACCTACTAATGGAGTACTAAAGTGATGACGTCATAAAAATGAAATTTCTGAAATTATGGGATTTGTCAGGATATTCTGAAAGAACAATGTCCAAGAGGCCTACTTGCCAAAAATGAGCATTTGGGGGCAAATTGTCTCTGAGATCGTAGCCCAGTTATACTCAGAAAACTCCATACAAACCCTTCTAATTTTTTTTTGGGTCGACCCCAAAAAAATTTAGAAGGGTTTGTATGGAGTTTTGTAAGCATAACTGGGCTACGATCTCAGAGACAATTTGCCTCCAGATGCTCATTTTTGGCAAGTAGGCCTCTTGGACATTGTTCTTTCAGAATATCCTGACAAATCACATAATTTCAGAAATTTCACTTTTATGACGTCATCACTTCTAATAGTGCTCTCTTACCTATACCTGGTAACTAGAAATCAAAGTGACAGCCCTGTGCCTTTTTTAGCTTCTAACCAGACTTCTTCAACTGTATATTTTTGCTCCACTAAGAAAGAGCATTTTTATAAATAATTTAAGGTAAACTGATTGTATGGGTGAAGAATTCATTATAATATGTATTTTCATAATATATTAAAAAATACAACCACAGGAAACTACTGCTGAACAGGTTTTTTTATTTTTTAATGAACTCATTGTGACTTTTTTGCTGATTAAAACATCAGGGCCCAGTTCAAAGACTTACTAGAACTAAACCATAGTTACACTTTTTATCTAAAATAATGCATTTCCATTCTTATAGGCTGATCCTGTCTATAAGAAGAGATTCTGAAAGATTCTGTCATTTAACCAGAGAGGCGCATGTACTTTAAAGTTCTTGCTAAGGTTGCATGAAAGATCTTAAACCTAGTGTAAAGAGAAATGCCAAGCAAATGAGCCTTATAAAAAATTATCAGAGACCCAACCTGTTAGTTATCACGTATTCCTAAAGTGAGCTTAACGTAGTTGATATCAGCTTCCACATCTCTTGGCTTACAAAAACTGAAACGTTTGTGTTGAAAATTATTAAGTAATGGTGGCCCCACAAAGTTCTCAGAACAAGCTATTTTAATATTACCTATGGCTAATGAGGCGATAGATGAATGACCCACACAATCAATGCATGAGGCCTACAAACAACAGAGGTTTCTGACAGCTGCATGGTTTCAGTGGTAGCATGTAGCCCTTTTAATAACTTCTGTTTGGGGATTGACTCAACTAAAAAACATAGGCAGCGTACAAGAAAATTGTAGAATTCTAGAGAATGCCTTAAGAGTATAAACTGTCTTCTTCCTTTCTTTTGATAATATTGTATTGAATCACAGACTGTCCAACTATCCCAATTTTGCTTGAATATCCCGAATCCTGACCATGTTATGCAATCCGGATAGGAAAAATCACGATTTTGAAATCTGTTCCAATATTTTGAAATGAATTCGTATGATACTTATACAAGAACACATACCGGTATCAGGGTATACGTAACAAAAACGGATACACCAAAAAACTTTAAAAACGGACAAAAATAAATGAAATCGAATACTCATACAAGAAGCCCCGCAAATAAAAATTTTGCATAAAAATCACAATTGATTTAGGGAGCTTTTTAGACAAAAATTGTGCTCTCAGAAAACTAGAAATGGCATCTCGAAGGACCAAGATTTCAAACTGTTCTGGGGGAGAATACCCCCAGACCCCCTCGCGGCTCGCCCCTTCGGCGCTTGCATGAAAAAAATTAATATCCTGATTTTACCAACTCATAAAGTTGGACAGTCTGAAATTAATATTTATTTGCTAACTCACAAGACTCAACTTGAAAAAGTTAGTTTTATTAATTATTTTTAGTCCAGTGTACGATTCACCAGACAAAAGAAGCCAATTTTCCTGGTCAAACTGGCACTGACTAAAAGGGCTGACCATTTTATTTTAATAGAATTGATTCAAATTTAACAATTATTGTTAAATGATATTGTTTAAACAGTATTTTAAACAATGACAGAGTTTTAAAAAAATAAAACTTTCAAAATAATAAATGCACACACCACTGTGGGTGTCGCAACTATGCCTACGTTTACGTTTCTAGCCATTTTAGGGCAGTTTAAGGGCCTGTTTACATGGAGTGGGGGACCCCAGTCTAGTGAGGTTGGTTTCTTTTGTTTTCACGCTCTGGGGGACACAAAACAAAAGAAACTTACCCCACTAGACCGGGGTCACCCACTCCATGTAAACAGGCCCTAATTGGCACTGTGGCACTGAACATAACCAACAGCAGTTCTGACAGCACCAAGGATACATGCATGATCATCGTGTTCGTTGTAGGGCCTTAATCAAGATGGAAGATGGAAATGTTGTGTTTTCGTTTGGCTCCAACTACTACAACTCCTTTTTGTCAAAGCTTACACAAATAGCATTGTGTAATTCAAACCTTGATAAATCAAAACATCTACTGACTAGTTTCACTCATTAGGCCCTGTTAGGTAAAATTCCGACAAGCAACATGGCCTTGAAATAGTGTAATAGACAGTTTTACAGTTGTGGATGGAAGCGAGGCTGAGGGTGACCTTGTTTTGATACAAAACTTCTTGCTTTATTATGTAAATCAAGTTATTCTTATGCTAACTAGTATTTTTCAAGAACAATTTCCATAACAAAGCAAAGAAGGCTTGTATCAAAACAAGGTCACCCTTAGCCTCGCTTCCATCCATAACTGTAAAATGGCCTATTCAAACCTTGATAAATCAAAAAATCTACTGACTAGTTTCACGCATTAGGTCCTGTTAGGTAAAATTCCGACAAGCAACATGGCCTTGAAATAGTGACATAAAACTAGATGAAATAGTGACAAATGACATAAAGATGGGTTAATACTGACATGCCGGGACATGGTCTACTCCTCAAAATGCGAAATGACCCTATTTGAAATTAAGACCAGGGACAAATATCACCCCACCTGCTCCCAAGAGGGCCTCATTCATTGTACAGTTCACCGTGTAAGTTTACTGTATGGATTATTGTATATACCTATTAGGCTGCATGCATCAAAATGTTACCATAAACACTGGCCTTTGGGAAGCAACTTGAATAGTATTATTTTGATGTCTATTATCCCAGATGCGAGTTATGCTCTGAGGTACTTCAGCAGTGATCACCTCAATACTCATAATGTTCACTTACAGCTGCTGAATGTTAAATTTAAAGTTCACTGTTTGTAGTAGAATGACTTTCAATATCTCTGAACTTTAATCTTCCAGACACTAAACCACAGCTTCTGCAAACATCACTTGAAGCACTCTACACTTCCATGCCCCTCTAAACCGTCATAGAAGAAGAAGTTATTTAACGGAGCATCTTTTCCAGAGACTGCCTACAAAAATTGAAACAAATGACAGCAATTTCAGAAAACAAACAAAAATCATACCATATGCCTTTAACATTACTAATTATAAGGGTGGTTGCTACAAACGAAACTAGTAAATGGCCCAACTTACAGTAAGATTGATAGAGGTGTCCAACAAGGTCTTTTAAAGTGCGTGGTTAGAGGGCGGAGCAGTTTGATTTTACTTTCCGTCTCATGATTTGGCATTTTCAACAACATTCGTTTTAATTTCATAAAAAGCTCTAACAGTGGCCAAATTGAATAATTTATTCACAAAAATTAGAAATTCCTTTTAGTAAAATTTAAAGAAGTAACACAATGGAAACGTTTTGCCGAAGAGTTTTAGTTGAGTGGTAACACCATTATAAAATTTGGCGATAAATCATCTCATCATAGCTTGGTCTCAAGGTGAAAGGGTTAAAATTGACTGTCTTATCGATATTCCTTTTTATTTTAATTCCTTCTTTTGTTATTAGCTCGATTGAGAAAACAGCTGACATTTTGTGATGCCACTACTGGTTTCCCTGTGATTGAAATGATGTCTGAGAAACAAGCGAAGAAATTCCGTACTGATGATCTGTCACTACCCAGATCTGGCTAGTGCTTCTGACTGGCCATGCCGCATGGGAAATTTGCTTTAACCAATCATTAGTGCTACCCAGACATGCGGTAGTGACAAGTCATCAGAATGGAATTTCTACTGTCATTTCTCAGACGTCATTTTGGGGGGAAACCAGTCATGGCCCGGCAAAAGGTTGGCTGTTTTCTCAGGCTAGTTGTTACCTACAACCAAGACATTAAAGCCAAACCACATTATCTTTATACCTTCACAACTTCTTGTCCCACAACACCGCCAACAATAGCACACACTGGACTCACTTGTGCTGTACAATGGCTATTAAATTCAAATAAATTACCAAGTTGTAAATTTGCCATGTAACAATCCACACATTTTATAAAAACAATACTGGGGAGAACATGTTTAAAAATGAAACCTGTCAAGAGACATGTTTGACGGTGCACTTTTATGGGCAAATTTTTTGTAATGAAAATGAGTAAGTTTGCTGTATCACTATGCTAAGGAAACCTAGCATACAGTTGTTATTCTGTGTGAAAATACCACCCTAATCTCTGGCAGAAAACTTGACATATCAAGCCAAAAAACCGGGAAAAATACAAACCTACTTAAAGGAGAATAGGAGTCATAAAGGTCCAATAATCTACTTTTGTAAGCAAACTCAATATAGAATGGGAGAACTGTGTAAAAATCAATCTTGGTGACTATGGTTTTTTTATGATATGCCACAATGATAAAGGTGCAATGATTATTATATAACAGTAGAAAGTAACCCTGAGCTACAAACAAATGCTTTTACATTTAGATTCAAGAAAAACACAATAAGACAAAAAGTTACAGTCCCCCCTGGAGACATGTTCATGATTCTTTCACGCCTAGCAATCTTAAGCTCATCCATATATCTGTATCTCAGGAGTCAATGTCAATTGATTTATCATTGTAAAAGTTATGTTTGTAAGTTTTGCTTGCTTACCTAGCAAATTCATCTGGAAGAAGTGTTTGGTCGAGGTTCAGCTCCTTCATGACTTCATCTCTGAGCACTAATAAATGTTCCTTTTCCTTAGGATTTTTGTTAGTCTGTGGAAGCCGGCCATACTGGCTTTGAAAGCGTAATATAACTGCAAAGCAGCATGTTTATAGATAAGAAAAGGAATTGAGTGAAAAGAGACCACAACAATCTTAGAGCCAGAAGTCAGGCTATTATTTTACCAGGTACTGAAACCATCGCTAGGTCAGAAATAAGTTAGTGAATGAAAAGTCCAGAGTTGTGGATGAACTGTGTGACCTGCATATGGATTTCTTATCTGAAGTCCGAGTGAGTTCTTATCCAAGTTTTGAGTGAGTAATGTTTCCAGCACCCAGTAAATAGCCTCACCTTGGGTTGTATGTATGTTGTGGTATCATTCTCTTAGAAGCCCTTTTTGGTGAGTGGTTTCAGTGGCCCCAGGTGGAAAGAAGGCTGAGTTGTGTAAAAAAAAAAGTTGTTTAAAAAATATCTTTCTGTATCCATGTGGACAGGGAACAGGTGTTGCTCCAGCCTGGGTTTCACTCCATGCCCTCCTGCCTGGGAGACCAATCCTTATTCAATATTGTGCTATAAACACCTCCACTGTCCAAAGGGGTTTGTATGAAATCCTAACTGTAACCATTCAGATGAAAGCTACTTCTACATGTAACTTTTGAATCTCCAGTCGTAATGAAGTGCAAAAAGTGGACTATAAAAAGGTTCAATTCACATTGTACTAACCTTTTACTATAAAATATACAGACGGTAATCTTTTTAAAATCTTTGCAGGTTTGTTATCCAGTTTTGCTGTCAGAGCAGCTTTTAATCTGAAGAACTCTGCAAACTAATGAAAACAGCAATCACAATGTAATACTGTAACCCTTTTTTTTAATAGCCTGCGAACAGGCTCCCAAGTTGAACAGGGTGAAAAAGAAAATCGGTGAGCAAAGCAAGTCGAACATGGCCTGGGAGAGAAAAAAGAACGGGGAGCCTGTAGAATTAATTGTTTGATGCCACTAATTGGCCCACTTGCAATTATCCTGTAACTCATTTTTATGTGAAATGTCAAGGTAATTAGACCTGTCAAATTTCGATTTTTTTTATGCCTGAATGCATTGGCTTTAATAACATTCACATGCACGCAGGTATTATTCATCACTCACTAATGTCTTGCCAACAGTCAGTGATCTGACCAATCATGCACGAAGCTGGAATCATGGATGGGCGGCATTGAAACAGGGTCCACAGACTCCCCTGCCTTTTTTCTCTCCCATGTCATGCTCGCTTGTGATTTTCTTTTTTGCAATTGGGAGACTCTTCACACTCTACTTTTTTAACAGTGACTGTCTCATCAGTCAGTTATGGGCAATTCTGGGGCGCACGTGTTAAGTGAGAATTGACTTCAGAAATTGTCGTAATTTTTTGCTGTGTGTATTATTACCTCTTGTACCACAGTGGTTTCATTCACATCAATTTTCTGCCTCTTGGCCTCTGGTTCCCCATCTGATCTGGTATTTTTCTTTTCTGCTGCCTTAATGACCTTGGGCTTTTCCCTGATAACAACAACATTTCAATAATAAATTCTATTATCTTGCCACTGAAAAGGTACAGTAGACAGATTGGAAGTATTGTGTGCACTAAAAGGAATGCGCCATTATATATTTTAATACATACTCAACGTATTTGTGTTTTCCAAGATCAGCAAACATGAATCCGTAGAAGCCAAAAACGTCAGCAGCAAAGAACTTGACCTCATTTGCATGACACACTTCATTCACATGAATCTAGGAATTACATGTACAATACACAATGTAAGTACTGTCTTCCTGGGGCACATTGCAGCTATAACTGTAACTAGAGCCTGTGGTATGGTCTCTTGGGCAGACAGGCTCTTCTAATTGCCTTCATTATAGCCATCTTCATTGTTGTTACATATATATTAAAAAGCTTCCTATTCAGAAAAGCGGAGAACAAGATTTGCTGAACAGGAACACCTGGGTATTTCTGACACACAATCACAAAATTGGTTAGTTACCAACTGATCTGCAGAGCAGTTTGTTGCCACAACCAAGTCAAACTGCTGAAAGAAACTGTCATCTTTGTTAGAGATATCCTCAACATCAGCAGTTACTTCAACCATTGGATTCAGCTGCTGGGCACGCTGGAGTGAACACTCAGCACGCTACAAAAAAACAAACAAACAAAATAACAAGTTAATAAGGCTTGTGACAAATTGCCACCACCCTGAGCCTGCCAGAAAAAAAAGGCATGGGAATGAAAATTGGCCTGACGATCTATGACAAGCTGTAACGGCTTGACCCAGAAGGGTGAGCCAGGGTAGGATCATAGAATAACCAAGTAATTCTCCCTTTTGGCTTCTATACATTTCCTTGAATATTAATTAAGAGAAGTTAGGGTTATATTAGGATAATCACTGGCTGATACATTTTCCTTTTCTCATCACCTGTCTGTTGGACAATGTAGTGATTATTCTAAGGAGAAGTAACATGCTAATCACTTCTTGGAGTTAAACAGATAAAGTAAAAACATGGGCAATTGGGTGGGTTGTTCTTTAACCCATGGATCACTGCTGAAGAACTTAACAATGAGGGGATGTTCTACTTGGACCTCCCATTTATTTTACATTTGCACACCCAACCCAATTAGGGGTAACAATATAATAATAATGGAATTTATATAGCGCTTATACATCGCTGTTCTAAGCTGTTCGAAGGGGTCTGTACATGTATTTCACCTTTGCTTATCATTACAAGCATTACATTGTATGAATAGTGTAAAAAGCCTAGAATGCCTTCAACATCCATTTGGAAGCATCTAGTTACATATAAATTTAATTTTGCTACAGAAATATTCCAATAAATTTTTGAAGCAATATATGAGACAAGGGAAGCTGCACTTCATGTGATATCTAGACACTGAAAAGTGGGTTGAAAAACTGAGTTGCACGTGAGTTTCTTTGGATAAAATTTCAAGTATGGACATCACACACTCAAACCTTATCAGTGCAAATGCTTACAAAACTACAATATCTTTAAAAGGTAAAGAATTTAAAACCTGGACTCAAAACACTCACATTTTTTCCCAAGTCCTGCCGCTGCACTAGAAACTGTGACACAAAATCTTCTTCATTCACAGGGTTGGGATCAACGATTGTAACAGACTTCACACCAGAAAGCACAAGATTTTTACAGATTTCAGCACCTAGTCCTTTAATACCAACCAGCAAAACACGGGATGCTCGTAGCCTAAAAGAAAAAGTTTGATTAAGGCTATGGCATGCTGATACACTAATATTATTACCTTATGACAAATAGTAGTAAAACATTCATTAACCAAAACCCAGTTAATGGCTGTAATCACACTAGAGACGGATTATCCGTCTGAGACAGGTTATCTGTTGGATAATTCATGTCAGACAGATTACATGTCCTAATTTGAAAACGGAATGGTCTTAATTTTGTATGGACAATCCACCTGACTTTATCCATCTGTTTTTCCCTCAATCTTGAAAGATTTTGAAGATGGATTATCCGTCTTCGACGGATAATCTGTCTCTGTAAGTGTGAAAACGGCCAATGAGACCGAATTGATTTGTGGCTAGACTCCACACAGGTTTAATAATGCCTACACTCTTCAACCCCACATCTATTAGTATAACTGTTTTTGCCTCAAAACTAGCATGAATGAAGTCCATGCATAATAATAATAATAATAATAATAATAATAATAATAATAATATACTAATAGTCTTTATTTCCACACAAGATAAAAAATACATATCTTATGTTACAATATTTGAGTAAAAGTATATATATTTAAGTTATTTACAATAAAAAAAAAATAAAAAATACGCTTACATAGCTAAATTGCAGTTAAAATTTAAGCGATAAATGTAAGAGTTCCTGAATCTATCTGTATTAACTGTCGGATACTGACTTGCTCGATTCCTTAAGTCAATACTTTCTTCTTGGGTAATAGTCCCCTTAGAGGGTGTCGGTCTATGCCAGATACCTTACGAAATACTTTTCTATCCTGCTTTTCTAGAAGGAGCTTGATAGAAAATGATTTAGATGTATATTTACGTTTGTAACATCTATCTAGAAAACACTGCATTGCTGTCAGCTCCGCCTCAGAAGCTCCATATACTGGCAACCCAACCCAACCCTGGCAACGTAAGGATCTTAATATAAACAAGCACTTATTCGCCTTAATCAACTTTACATGCACATGACAATCAAATCGGCAATTATCCTGTAATATTGACCCAAGGACAGAAAGTTGACAAGTTTGTGGAATGCCGAAAACTGGCGTAAACACATTCGTACAGCTTTTCTTTCTGATAACTAGCTCCTTGCATTTTTTGCTATTACAAGACATACAGTTCTTCTCTGACCATTCCATAAACGTTCTTACTATATCTACTGAGTTATCCTGTTCTTTCCACACGGGCGAAACAATACTAGTATCATCAGCATACTTAAACAGAATGTCTTTACCATTCAAACTTATAGTTACAGTACATTGTAGGGCTACAAACATGTCACCCTGCTCTGGCAAGGAAATTCCAAAGAGAAAGAGGGAGGTTTATTGTCTTGTTTAGGGGTGTAAATTCTACCACACTTATATTATTCTGGTATCACTTAGGCTACACAGGATAAAATACCAACATTTTTATGCAAGCAGTTATTGCTTAGGTTTATGTGTAAAGAAAGGAAAGGAAAAAAAAAGGAAGAAAGCACTCAAAAATGTCTTTTATGCCGCTGATTATATACAGTCCCACACCCAGGATGGTCTCCTTTAGATTTATGATGAGTACTTGGAGTAGTATAATATTCTGGGAAACTTCCCACCTACCCCTTCCCTTACGACAAAATGTTGGGGTGGGGGAGGGGTATGTGGCAATTTCTCAGAATCTCACACTGATCAAAGCATTTCTGCCCCTTTCTCTCTGGAGTCCCTGCATGGGACCTCACAAAGGGTAACAAATAGGTGCATTCTACAGCTGCATTAGTTTGTGCTGCATGTTAGAGATATGGCCAGTTGTTCAGTCACATGGAAACGTATCCGCTTCACTTGCGTATTGACATCACATATAAAAGGACCGGGGCTTAACCCTCGGGCATAGATTCCCATGTATACTTCCGGTCACTACGCTCATAAAAGGGTCAAGTCTTCAAAACACAAAATACACAAAACACAAAACAACACAAATAGGTAAACGATCAAATCAATATGTTTATCTTTATATTAAGCATGGAATTAACATAATTTTGCACGAAATTTTCACCAGCATACAGTACAAAAGCTTTCGAATATAAGCTTAAATGAATCTTGACGACACGAAGACACGTTCGATATTTCTAACCTTTTTTGAGCATCAAGTCCCCAGAGTCGGATCTGTCGGTCATACAACGCCGCTTCATCTTCAGTTATCACTGCCCCATTTTGTTCATCAGTTACCCTAGGATTTTCAACCATTTTTTGATGAATAAACAAATAAATAAATCTTGAAATCTCCGTTATTCAAATATGGCGGGAAGATGCCGGGAAAATAAACCTGCGCATTGGAGCATTTCATTTGCGTTTGGCGCACATGTAGATTGTGAACATCCGCTGAGTGTGTGCCCGGATTCTTTCAAAATGGCGCCTTCCAGTGGTTCGCGAAGTTGAAATATCAAAATATTTTTGTTATATTCGAGACAGTGGAAGAACATTTTCTATCCCTGCAACTATGAGGGTCGTTGCTTTGATCAGGTAATCCTACATGCAATAGTTTGGGGATGTAAATGTAAATTTACGTTAAAAAGACACTTGTCCCCTTCTCATGAGCTCTGTTGCTCACCCATGTGCGAACTCTCGCTTTCAACGAACTGTCCCTCTTACACCTAATGCGTATGCCAGCCAATCCCAGTTGTGCGTATTTCTTGTTTTGTAAGGATATGGTGTGATTTGGTTGACGCATATACAGGGACAATGGAACATTTTTCCAAGGGAGGGGTGGGTTTAGGGGAAGGGGGGTGGGGTTTGGTGCTGACTAATGACTTGAAGTAGTGAGGCTGAGGGGAATCTCTTCCTAGTAAGTGTTTATTGGATCATTATACGTTTCTGGGTAACTGACCACCTACCCATCCCCTAAATCAACATTTTACCCTAAGTAAGAAGTAAGTGTTAATGTTGGTTTAGGGGAGGGGTAGGTGGGCAGTTACTCAGATATGTAGAATGATCCTGTGTATTCTCCAGAAAAAAGCCCTCAGCCTCTCCCAGCTCCACTGTCCCTAGTGACGACAAATTATCAAGTAGTGACAGTATGAACAAGATATTTTCTCCTTGAATGCACTATAGGGATCCAGGGGATCCAAACTTCTTAATATGTACCTGATGTACCTTGCATCCCTGCCCTGCCCCTTTTTTCTTAGTTTATTCCCTTTCCTAAACCCTTTTTTGACGGCAAAATATCAAGCAGTGTTGTGTACTTTCCCCCTTTTTCTCCTATTTCCAACCCACTTTTACCTGCCACCTCCTGTTCTTTCCTCTCCCACCTCCCATACCCCTCTTGTTCCCTATTTTCCCCTAACCCTAACCCTAAACCCTAACCCAGGTTCCCAACCCCCTGTTTTTCCCCACAGGCTACAACCAGTTACATGAAGGTTCATGACACTGTAACGTTGTAGACTGAAAATGGTGTTTTTCAGACTCTGCAATAATTATTTATGTTCCTTCCCCCAATATCAGAGTTGTAAGGGTTCCAAGAAGGTATCCAGAGGGAGCAAGGAGTGCTGAAGTTAGAAAAGGTGTTTTTTATGATGATAATGATATTATTTTTGTTATTCATAGGAGACAGGAGATTCTGGTCTTACTTACGCGGGATTTTACCCATGATATACTGCTGTATACTATTCTGAAATTACTCTGTTGTGACTGCCCTTTTTTGTTTTGCTGTTTTAGCGGTGGAAAGGACAGTTGTTACAACATGATGCAGTGTGTGCAACATGGTCATGTAATTGTTGCTCTGGCAAATCTCAAGCCTAGTAATGGAGGTAGAGATGTTTTCATCAATGTGATTGGCTGTACCATTCCATTTTTTGAAAAAATAATGGGCAGATTTAGCGAAGACGACATAACTTCAATATTTATGGAAAAGTGTGCAGAAAAGACTGAATGCGATTTTCAGTGCTTGATTTGCCATTGTGCCATTCTTGGTCGAGCTGGTTCAGATCTGCACATCCCATTGTCACAGTCATCACATAGTCTTTGCTAAACCTGCATCATATGAAAAGTAAAGCCCAGTTATCAGTCAGTTTGCTGGCTAGTTTCCCATATGGAAAAACAAAGGCAAAAAATTGAGCCAAGGCTAAAATAATGTGAATCACAACACAATCATCCAGGATAAGCTTTTGTCAGCCTCCTTGAATTGTCTTAACGCTTTATCTCCAAATAGTGGCCTAAAAAAATTCAAATTTTGTTTTGTAAAATCCTAACTAGTAAATAGTACTATGAAAAAATTCTGCCAAAGAGGTTTTATTTGAATGGTAACACCATACATGTAGGCTTTCATCAACAGACTCAAAAGTTAGAGCTACATACTAAATAAATAGTACCATGTGAAAGTACTGCTGAAGAGGTTTCATTTGAATGGTAACACCATAGGATTTCATGCACAGACTCAAAAGTTAGAACTACATACTAAACTAGGTATACCTATCGATAGAGTGCCAACGAGCAAATCATGCATATTTTGCTTAGGAATAAAATTCCTTTTTTTTCCCATCTGACCGTTTCTTGGTCCCTTCCTGTTGCAAGGATTATTTTCTTGAAAAGTTCTCAGATTCAGTCTGGTGGCTTTACAAACCTGCTATGTAAAAGTGTGAAGTGCCTTGAAAGAATAAAGTCAGCTTTGCAGAGGAAGCGATCGGGAATATTATTAAGTCCAGCTACAAATCTACTGTCGGTTCGGTTTCACATTGTTGATAAATATTTGCACAGTTTAATCATTTAAACCTTCTTTCAAATTTCCCGAGGCTTTTTGATATCGGATTGAAACTTAGAATGATTTGCTGGGCCATCTGAAATGTTTCCAAGGACATGCGATGTACGGCACGTCGGTATTTAATTTTAGTTCATTATTTTTATACTGAACTCGGCCAGGTTTCCAAAAAAAATGGCGTTGTTTTCTTTTCCTTTGTCGTTCGCTTTAGGCTTGTAATTCGTTTTTGTTCTCATTGTTTTTGTTTGCTGGTTAGATTTTTTCCCCAACACCAGACTTTCCAACAGAAGCGACTGCATTCTTCGTGTCAAGCTTTCCTTATCTCCTCGTGTAATCTGATCCTTTTTAGTGGTGAGAATATTGCTTGCTGCACATAGAACACTTTTGCTGTTTTACAAACTTCTCTTCGTTAAAACTTAACATTATGGCCCCTAAAATTAACAGAATATATCAAGTGCTCATGTCTCTTGACTGCAGTGGCCAGGTTTGACGAAAAAATTTAGGTCAATAAACACAGGAGGTCACGACGGCTGGAAGTGTGTGAAATTTTGTTTGTTATTCAATTTGAGCCCGTGCGCCAGGTACTGCCTTTTGATTGGTTCACAACTGACCACTTGGTCTCAGGGGAATCTACATTACATTGGATTACACTTTTTTCAGCTCGATCGAGAATTTTTCTGCCTATTGCCCAGTCTTACGCGGCTCTATTCTGCTGCCGCCTCGCCATCCGAGCGTCTTCGCTCGGATGGCTCGTTGGCAATAAATAGTGCCATGTGAAAGTACTGCTGAAGAGGTTTCACTTAAATGGTAACATCATAGGATGTCGTCAACAGATTTTAATTTGGAATTTCAATATTATTAATCATCTCACCATAACTCAGCCTTGGGCAGAAATGGTTAAATACTCCTCTTTTACCTAGTTATCCTTCCTAAGCATCCTTCTTAAATTTAGTGAACACACCTCTTGCAATTTATTCAATGATTTTCATTATTTCCTTTTTGATTTTTACGCTGACAGCTGATGAGCTTGATAGCTTTATGTATCAGACAGTGGGGCACAATGCTATTGACCTGTATGCACAAGCTATGGATCTACCTTTGTATCGTGGCTTAATTCATGGATCATCAGTAGCTCAAGGCAAAGTGTACACTGAAACAGACCAAGATGAAGTTGAAGACCTCTACAAACTTCTCAAGAGAATAAAAGTATGATGTGCTAGTGTGTGTTTTAATTTCCTATCTCCATGTTTAGTTGCAAAAGAACGATTCTTACTTAGGAGCTAGTCCCTGGGATTTATGAAACTACAGTGCTGTTACTTAATATGATACACCTATCAATGTTAATGTGGAGGGGGGAGGGGAGGCTGGTCAAAGGCCAAGAGTTTGAACTCGAAGCAATTTTTGGGTCAAATGCCCTACCCCAGGGCGGTATGGATGTATTCATTTGAGTAAGAATAGAGAGGAGAAAAATAGATACCGTGTCATGTTCTCCTCAGCTGCCATCTTGCACATGTGTATAAAAAATACCGACAGATCACGGCTACCATCGTTGGTTACCTATCTCCCTGTTAATGCAGCTGTTAACCAACTAGTAACCAGGTCTTTGTCAGCTTCTAATCCAAGATAGCATTCGTAATCAGAGGAAATTCAAAATTACCCACCCCTGGGACTTGGCGATAATCAAAAGTCCTCACCACGGGCCGACTTCCTTTGTCAAATCCCCAGCCTTTGCCTGCCTACCCTCTCCAGATTAACACTGGTAGGTGCATAATACTGTCTTGTTGTAAATCAAACTTACAAGTGCAGGATGCATTCATCAGGTTTCTTTCTAGTATTGAATGTAGCATTTTTATCCAAATGATAGTGGCTGAGAGGGAGCTGCAGGGTTGGTAGGGAACTAATATAAGATATTCAGAGATGGCAAAAATGGTTGTTATTACAGTTTAAGGTGGACTTACATGTAAGTCTAGCTCAAAAAGAGTTAAATGCAATAGCAGAAAATATTTCACTCTCCTCTGCAGCCTGTGCCAGGCTCTCAGATAATGCAGAAATGGCAGGAAGAGGGAAGGGAAAAGCCTGTAACAGGGTGCAAAGAAAGTCAGTTTTACAGCCTGCCATGCTGGCTTTAGTATGTACTAGCCCACAAGTCATTTCAACTAGCCCCAAAACCCTTTTTTATTAGCAGGATTAATTACAATCCTTCTGTTATTTGAATTTCCCTGTAGCGTCGAATGGCGGCACATGATAGCCGTGACGATGAAAACAACAACAAAACGTTTAATCATACACGAGGCTGAATCAACTCACAAGTATCATCATAAATATCCGTTAGAAATCCATAGCACGAGAAAGAAAAACTGAAACAAACGACTTACAAAACACTTGGGAAACTTGAAGAAAACCTTAGTGAAACTTTAGGTTATTTCACAGTGGCCTCGTGCCCGCCAATCCCGAGGCTCCGTGCGCATGCTCCTAATAAACAAGGGGGTAAGCCCGCTGGTCAGGATACCAGCAGTTACATTCCCCAAGAAACAGCACTTGCCCGTCGGGCAAGTTAAGAACAAAAATCACTAGCTAGCCTGATAGCAAAATCCACTAGCCCTGGGCTATCGGACACGACTTTCTTTGCACGCTGCTGTAAGCATCTTTTTAAATACAGTCAAACCTCTTTAATACGAACACCAAAGGGACAGAACCAAGTGTCGCCTTTACAGAGGTGTCTGTATTATAGAGGTAGCGAATGTATGATTTTTGGCATCTCTGGGACCAAAGGAACTATCCGTAATAGAGAGGTGTCCATATTATAGAGGTGTCCGTAAAGAGAGGTTAGACTGTACCTTAATCTGCCCACTACCCCACCCGCTTCCTTAATAACCGTGCCAAAATGTCAAATGTCAAAAGGTGCAGTGTAGGAGTAGGGTGCAAAGAAGTCAGTTTTACAGCTTGCCATTTGGGCAAGCTGTAGGTATTATGTTCTAGCCCAATGGTCATTCAAACTTGCCCGAAAAAAAGTTTTGATGAGCAGGATTGATTACAGTCCTTCTGTAATTTGAATTTCCCCCAAAACTTCACTTTCCCGTTGGGCAAGTCAAGAACAGAATTCACTAGCCTGAGAGCAAAATCCACTAGTCCCAGGCTATCGGCTATTGGCTTTCATTGCACACTGAGGAGGGTTTCACGTGGTCAACATATTTGTTATACTCTGCACATGCGAAGCCAAAACCAATGGTTGACATAAGTTTTGAAGTAAACTGTCACAATTGACCAATCATGGGGTAGACTGGGAGCTGGTATACCGGAATGAGGTATTGAAAACAACACTTACAGGCCCCACTACTCTGTGTCTCCCCAGCCCCCATTCATTTTTTGCACAACTTTTCTCGATCTGCTTTTCCCACTATCTTGGAGCCTGGAACAGGCTATCCTTTCTGGTGCAGCTCCCCAACTATTACATCTTCCCCTCCTCATGGTAGATTAAATGGCATGTTATTTTCAAGCATGAAAAAGCAACATGATCTGCGAGTTTAAAATGTTTGTACATTGTTGTAGCCCTTCACTTCGTTCAACTTTGAAATGGTGGACTATTAGAAATCAGATTTTGGTTTCTTTCTTTCTTTCATTTTATAGGAGGACATTACTTTTGATGCAGTGTCAGTTGGAGCAATTTTGTCTGATTACCAAAGGGTTAGAGTAGAGAATGTGTAAGCTGTGAATTTGTGTCTATTAAGAGTGATTCAATAGGTCTTGAATGAGGGATTTGCAGAAAAAAAGGTCCTAATTGCTTCCTTTTCTAATGTTACATTCTTCCCCTGATTCACATGCATTTACTAGGTAAATTAGTGCAAGGCCTAAAACCAAACCAAACTCATTATTTAGAGAGGTGAAATTTGTTAATTCCAACCCGTGATAAACCTGCAGCCCTCTTAGTATCGCCAACCACAGGGTTCTCAATAGATTTTTAAGGAGGAGGTGATCACTGATAAAGTAGGAGGCTCTTCAGCAAAGCCAGAGGTGTCAAAACAAAGCAAAGAAAAGCGACTTAAACACAAAGTAAGCGGCTATAAATCCCAAAGTAAGCGGCGATCAATCGCCGGGTGCCGCCTTCTATTGAGAACCCTGCAACCAACTGGAGACACTTTCCAGATCAAATTGGAATTTGGACATGTTGGTTTTTAAGGTGAGAGGAAAACCAGAGTACCCAGAGCAATACCTCTTGGGCAGAGAAGAGATCCAGCAACAAACTATAGTTTGTATGACATCAATGATCAGCGTGCAAAGAAAGTCGTGTCTGATAGCCCGGGGCTAGTGGATTTTGCTGTCGGGCCAGTGATTTTTGTTCTTAACTTGCCCGATGGGCAAGTGCTGTTTTTTGGGAAAATTCAAATTACAGATGGATTGTAATCAATCTTGCTAATCAAAGGGTTTTGGGGCTAGTTGAAATGACTTGTGGGTTAGTACATGCAAGGTACAGCTTGCCAGAATGGCAGGCTGTAAAACTGACTTTCTTTGCACCCTGATGATGAGACTTGAACCCCAGCCACATCGGATGCAGGCAAGTCCTCTCGCCGCTGTGCAATCCCTGCTTCCCCATCCTTGCCTTAAGGTGAACAGGAAGACATCTAGCAGATTATCAAATGGTATGCAGGGCTTTAGATTGTGTATCATTGTTGTGGTATGGTCAGGGCAACAAGGTTTAAGTTCAAACATTATTTTTTTGTGTGATTTTTCTCAGCTGTTCCAGATTAGGACTGTCTTCATTAGCTTACCTTTGGAGACGTGACCAACAAGAGCTGCTTAGTGAAATGATCTCTTCAGGAATTGAAGCTGTTTTGGTCAAAGTTGCTGCAATGGGTATATAAAGTCACTTTTTGTTTTATTTTGATACAAATAACAACCTCACGATTTATTATTTATTTGGCATTATTTTTTTGTATAGGGTCTTAAGCATAGTAAGTTGGTGGGATAAAGCCTTAGCTTACTTCTTAAAACACGACTTTGACTTTTTTGCTCCAATAAGACAGGTTTTAACAAACATTTTTAAGACTGGTGTTAATACATGTAAAACCTGGACTGCAGGAAAGTCAATGTGTTTACTAAAAACAATTTAAACAGAGCACCAAAGGTAAAGATTATTTTATTTTGTTTTTAAAAGTCAAAAAGAGGTTAAGGGTTTTTTTTATTGTGGACACTACGCTTAGCTTATCCAACTAGTTTACAGGCACTCTACTCTAAAAACCATATCTGGCAAGATTCAAGCAGGGCCGAGTTGTTTAAAGCCGGGTCAAGGTAACCCAGGGTTAGTGTGAAATTTGAATTCAGATTAAAAACCAAATTCAGCTGTTTAATTCTTTTTGTCTACAATATGATGATTGGATGATCTTAAAAGAATAGAGAAAATTATCCGAGAAAATGCTTTCCAATAAAACAAAAAGAAACCCGGAATAAAATTTAACCTCAGGTTAGTACTAATGGGCCTTCTAACAACTGGGCCCTTTTGGCTACATGTATCTACAAGCAAGGCTGAGGATTTGAACTCGGGATAGGTGAGAAAAATCTAGCAAGTGGCCAGAGTGGGACTCAAACCCAGGATTGCCGGATTGTGAGTTTGAAGTTTAATGCCCTGGCTACTCAGTCATGCTGTCCCCAAACCAATCACTGTTTGTGTTAATACATGTTAATGATTTCAATTATTGAGATCTTATCTTCTTAAAAATGTTTAGTGATAAAGAAGTACACCATGAAATTGTTGTGATTTCTGTTTTCTTTTGAAGATCTTAATCCACACCAGCATTTAGGCCTGTCCATATCAGAAGTATATCCTCTTATGTGTAAACTGGTAAGATACTGACAACTTACATGTGTGATGGAGTTGTTTTTATTGATTTGTCTCATGAACTGTTGGTTGCAATGTTTCAACTGTGTGCTGTTGGTCTTCAACAGGCAACATTGTCCATTAACTGTGTGTAAGGCCATGTCAGGGAGGGTAAAATTTTGATGAGCAACATGGCCATTGGACAGCTGAAATGGCAATAAATGACTCAAAGATGTGTTGAAACTATGAAAAACTACTACACTGTATACTCTCTTTTTTTTCTGTTTTCTTGTGAAACACACAGAGAATAATTATGTAGTACACCAGAGCAAAATCTGACATAGTTAATGATTTACTGTTTCATTTATTTTAGAGATGGATAGCAGTTATCCAATCCCATACATTTGCATGTGCTGTAGCTCAATTTTCTGTTGTGTTTTGATACGATTGAACCTCCTGGTGTGACCACCTCCCATAAGCAACAACCTATCCAAAACACCACAGTTTTACCAAACCAAGCCTTGTCATTTAGAACCTTTCATAAATGACCAGCTCTCTTACGCAACCGCGACCACATCTCGGTTGACAGTTTTTCGATTTTCCATTGTTTTGATGTCCTGAATGCAACCATTTGCATTTACTGTATGTACAACCCAGCTCAGAGTTTTTGAGGTACATTCAGTGACAACATGGCCCAGCTCATATTATACCAAAGAAATATATTGTTCGCAATAAATTCTCTTTCCTGTTTCTAGTCTATACCCTGTGGTATGACTCTTGTAAGCACTAAAACAACAATCTACACATTTTGGGTGGTTGTTGGTACGAGTGGTTCAAAGTTATGATTATTTCATGTCTTTTAGAACTGCAAGTATGGCTCAAATGTCTGTGGTGAAGGAGGAGAATATGAAACCTTTACATTAGACTGTCCATTGTTCAAGAAGAAAATAATCATGTATGTGTAACCAATACCTCAGGTAGTTATTTAAGTGGTGGGAAGATTATTGTTGATAATTATTATGTATCTTATCATGATAGCTCTTTGTTCACATAACTTTTGAGCCCATGAATGATTTGTTATAGCTGATGATTCAAGTGAAAGCTACTGAGCAGTGCTTTCCTATGGTACAGTGTAATATACTGTTTAAGCTGGTTCTAACTATTGAGTTTTGGATAAAATCCTAGTGTGTAATTATTTAAAAACTACTGTATACACATGTAATGTATTTTTTGCAGAGATGAAAGTAAAGTTGTCATTCATTCTGATGATGCATTTGCTCCTGTTGGTTTTCTTCAATTCAAGAAAATGCATTTGGAGGACAAAGAACAGGTTTCTAATACCTATTTTGGATATTTCCAAAAGTAGCCTTTCCTTAAAAAATCTTTGTAGGTTGAAGATGTTGTTGTGTTATTAGGGAGCGTAAGCAGCAATGATGATGACCAGTGTTCAATGTAGAAATTAGTCAAAGTGGGTCATATGTCCAACATGGCATTTTAAATGACAAAATAACCTATATAGCTAGTCAGTGATGAAATACAGAAAAATTCCCACAGAAATCATTGATACTACAGGGTATAATCTATTTTTGGGGGGAAAAAATGGGCCAAATTCCAACTAAAGGGCAGAAAAGCTCAATATTCAATATTACTTGGGAGATTTGGTGACCGGCACAGTAGATCAGGAAGTTAATACAGTATCTGGAAGAGTTGGTACATTATGCATTTGTTTAGGGGAGGTGGGTGGGGGAAAGCTAGCTTTTTTTTGTTATGGAAGATGATGTGTCTAAACTAATAATAATTTTGTCACCAGCAGCGCTAGTAATATTGGTTTAAAGCAAAGGAAGTCACTGGGCATTGCTAAAGTACAGTCTTTGAGTTTTGTAAAATAGTTCTATAATTATTTTTTATCTTTTCTAGGTCAGCTCAGCATTTCTTCAAGACAACAGATGTGTGGATGATTTTGGCAAGTTAGAAATAGAGGTAGATTCTGAGTAGAAAAAGTAAAATGTGTCAGTAAACATGTTCAAATTATTATTGTAAGTAAAAGCTTAATTCCGCATAAAAAGAGCATATATTTATATGTTGTACAATGTAATTTATTTTTTATTTCAGTTAATTTTTTTTTTTTTAAATTTCTGGGTAATTTTTCAAGGGACTTGAAAGCCTGCATCCTTAAAACTGACTTTGCAATCTTGCGGTTTCTTGAGCTTTGAGAAAGACAAAGCATGTCAATCAATCTTAATTATATTGCATGGGAAAACAGCCTTAAGTTAACCTGAAATAAAAACTTATCAGTTCTTTGTGAAGCTTTATTTTACTTGAAGTATTTAAAATTTACTTGTCTTGAATTATTTCTTAGCTTATTTAGGCTCTGGTGTAAAAGACCACCATTGACATTCAATTTACAGCTGTTGAAGGGGTGTGGGTCAAAAAGGCGAGACTTACAGTGTAGTTGTAAGGATAAACTAACATTTTTTTCTTTAATAAGACAGGTAATTTAAATGGTGCTGAGATTCCTAGAGCTCTCAGAAAAGGACTGAAGGTAAAAATCCCTGTACAATCACAAGGACCCGAGAAAGGTAAGGGAAATTTGTTCCTCTTACTCTCAAATTCAGTCATAGAAACATGAGATCAATTTAAGTTTTCTGGGAAACTACCCACCTACACCTCCCCTGAGCCAACCCAACATTTTGTCCTAATTGAGAAGTAAGTGTTAATGTTGAGTTAGGGGAGGGGTAGGTGGGTTGTTTCCCAGAAACCGAAAGTGCTCCGAAATATGTACAGAATTGTTCCTTCTTTGAGTCTGTGGATAAAATTCTATAGTGTAACCACCGAGTGCTACTGAGCAGTGAATTTGTGGTTCTATTGTGTTCAGAATTTTATTAACAAATGTAATAAAATTATTTTATTATTGTGTTACTCTAGAAAATATCCATATTTCCCTGTTGAGGATTTTTTGCTTCACCCCACCCCATCCCTCTGGAAATTCCAGTTTTAATTTCTACCTCTGTTGAAAAATTTGGGACTTTAAGAACCACATGTCTGAATTTTTCCCACTCCTAGATCTTATCATTATTTATTAATAATTATTTTGCTTTTTAAATCTATGGAGAAAATCATATGGTGTTACCATTCAAATGAAAACTCTATGCGAAACTTTTGCATGCTACTATTTAATTCTTTGGATTTTACTTGAGGACATTGGAACTTTGTCTGAATTTCTTGTTTTTTGGCTACTACTGGGAGTGAAAGTGTGTAAGTTTTTTCTTTGACTCTCAGTTGTTAAATCTGTTTACTCGACAGGTCAGATGTCTTACAGTAAGTGTGGTGATTATATTTGGATTACTGGAATTTATGGCCATTGCACTGTTGAAGGGAAAACACTATCTATTGAAGATATTACAAGATCAGTCCTACAGAGTTTGTCTGGTAAGTAGCTCAGTGAGTAGTGTGTAGATGTCTTTCAACAGTTTCCAGCATTTCTCTGCAGTACTACTTTCATGGATCACTTTTTCTAACTCTTTCGCAGTTGGCACTGCTATAGTAATCATGCTTATTTAACAATAAAAAATAATTCAAGACACCAAACACACATAAAGTATAAATAAAATTAAGGGTGTTTTCAACAGTTTATACTGTTGCTATGGTAATTACATCACTGATTATGATTTTGGTGTACATAATGGGCCCCACTTTTCAACTTTTCTTCTTTCTATATGACAAGCATTTTCGGGGTTGAAATAATATGCATGATATAATTATCTTTTTCTCGCCCCCTTATTTTATTCAGTCTTTTGCCTAAGCACAACCCCCTTGTCAAGTAGAATGAACCATTTTCAAATAATTTTATTTTTAAAAATATGATAATAATTATTAAAGTTAGTTACTTGGTTAGTACATTCTAAAATAATTATTCAAACTCAGAGGGAACCACAAGAAACTTTGTGTCTGTTTTGATTTCCATAGAGATACTTAGTAATTTGAAAGCAAGCTTGAAGAATGGATTAATAATTCATGTGTTTGTGAAGAACATGGATGACTTTGCTCACGTCAACTCAGTGTACAGAACTTTTATAACAGTTAACCCTCCTGCAAGGCAAGTCACAGCATAGAAAACATTTATCTGTATTTAAAAGTGTTCTTAATGATAGAAATTGAAAAGATTTCCTGATCCCTTTCAGGTTTCCTCATGAAATGGCATCTGAGGAACAATCATAGCAATTCCACACTGGTGATGTGCCACTACCCCAGATTTGCTTCGGACTGGTTGAAGCAAATATCCATTTTCCCTTGTGGCACAATCAATCAGAAGCACTACCCTGATCTGGGTATTGACACACCATCATTATGGAATTTCTGCTCTGTTTTTAGCAGGGAAACCAGTGTTGGCATCTTAAAATGTCAGCTGTGTTTTTAAGCTAGGCATTTGTTTGCCATCTTGGTAGCACCCACCCTAAAGAGTACCTGAAAATGGCTATACAGATATGTGCCACTCAACAAGGTCGGGGTTTTAGGACTCCTGGGGCCATGACCGTCATCATTTGATGGCAAGAAAAACCAAAAGTGGTTTATGTTAACTGCAAAATGTCAACCGTCACTGCTGCTGCAAACTTCCTTGTAATACATTCATGTAAGGTGTGAGTGAGAGATCTGTATGGGCATTTACACTTGCAACCCAAAAGTTACACCTGACCATTGTAACGGCCCACACAGATTGTTAAATGAAACAAAGAGTTTAGATCTGTATCAATAGTTAGTGAGTACTAATTAATAACTTAGTAGGTGTTGACATCAAAAGTTGATTGTACTGTTTAATTATTTTATTCATCAAGCCAGTTGATTTGTTTTGGGTGTGAGTAAAAAACTAGCTATTGATTTGCTATAACTTGAATGGATGATTAATGAATTTATAAGTAAAAATAAAGAGTTTGGTGAGGACTGAACTTCAGTCATCGTGAATGCCAAATCCTCCTAATACAATATTGTGGTCCACATTTGCAGGTTTCTTATATAATATTTCAATATATATTATATTTTTTTACTGTTGACTTTTTGTTTCAAGAAGACTATTAAATTATATAGTCAAATCCCATTGGTACGGACACTGAGGGGACCATAGAAAGTGCCCATATTCAAGGGGTTGTCCGTATTATAAAGTGGATTGAATTTAGAGAAAATGTAAGGGCTTTCTTTCCCCAAGGACAAAACAAACTGTCTGTAATAGTAAGGTGTTCATGTTAACCCTTTAAGCCCTAACATACAGGTACAAATTCTCCAAAGTGATCTACGTACATTTCCTTTAAGAATTAGTTGAGAGAATTTAATGAAAGATCAAGGCATTTTCTCTTTAGTGATCATTTTAGTAATTCTCCTAACCTTATCTCTTGAAAATGTATGGATAATGTTAGGAGAAAATTGATATTGGTCACTATTGGGACTTAAAGGGTTAAGTGGGTGTCGGTAAAGCAGGGTTTGACTGTACTTCATTTGCTTTACAGGGCATGCATCCAGCTAAACCTACCTGACGACATTGCCATGCAGGTTGATTGTCTTGTTTATAGCCCTAGCAACAGAGAGGCTTCATCACGAGAGGCTATGCATGTTCAGAGCATTTCTAATTGGGCTCCTGCAAATATTGGCCCTTACAGCCAAGCAACTAAGGTAATAAGAAGGGTCATATGTGTAGAGCTCTAGGTCTTTTACGGATCTGTAGCTTAATTGGGATTGTGAAAGGTTTGAACCCAGGAGTGATAGGTAGGTGGAGCATGATTGTCTGGGCAATCATAGTCCTGAATAGGACTTTCGTTGGCAGTGACTGACGTTTTGACAACCTGTGCAGTTGAAGCATTCGAACTCTGCACAAGCCTAAATTTTATAGCTGCAATGATCTTCTTTGCATTTAACTCTTGTTGCCATTGATTTCTGTAATGATTATTGATTATTGACTAGGGGTATACAGTGCAATAATGTTGTGTTTGATTTGTCTAGTAGATTAAAGACACCTTGTTTGTCTCTGGTTCTATTGGCTTGCTGCCTGCAACTATGACAATAGTGTCAGGTGGAATATCAAAAGAGGCACCTCTGTCTTTGCAACATGTTGGAAGAGTTATAACTGCCATGTCTCCTGGGGAATCCCTTAGAAGTATCATTCATGGATTTTGTTTTTTGACATCGGCTGCATATGTGTCCATTGCTAAAAATGTTTGGTGTCAAGCACCAAAAGTAAAGGTACTTTAGGGCCTAGCTCTAACCCTAACCCTTATGTTTCTGAGAAACTGCCCACCTACCCCTGCTCCAAGCCAATATTAACACGTACTTCTCACTTACGGCAAAATATTAATGTTGGCTTAGGGGAGAGGTTCCAGGGTCAGTTGTATGCTTATCTTAGTTTGCTTTATACTCACCAGATAACTTGCCTGAGCACTTGCCCATTGGGCAAGTGAGCATGAAAAGTTTCTTGCCGTTAAGAAATTCTACTTGTTCTAGACTACTGGACAGGCTTTTTTTTGGAGCCCTGTGTGGTTATTGGTAATGGGTGCAAATTGATCCTCACTCATGTCTTGATGTGTTAACTGAGTTTGTTTGTATAGACCACAGAGAATGGGGAACAAGATTTGGAGTCCCATGAGGGACTAATATCGTACATCATTGTCCCTGCTCTACCAAAAGGAGCCCTGGTGGAATGGCATGTTGTGGCACAAGAGAACCATATCCAACATACATGTATGTTTTTGAAGTGCTAAGTGCAGAAATAATAGTAATAATGATGGTGATGATGATGATAATAATAATAATAATGATAATAATAATCTGTTTCCAAAGTATCCATTTCATGGAAGAAATGTGTGAAGTTTGTCATCTTTGGGACCCAAGAATCCTGTATATATATATGTTGCACGCCAAATTTGATTTCAGGTTAAATTGTTTTAACCTAGGTTGATTCTCAATTTCCTTTGTCTCTTAGCCCTAAGAGACAAAGGAAATTGAGAATCAACCTGGGTTAAAACAATTTAACCTGAAATCAAATTTGACCTGTAACACATACATGATTACTGTTATCAGTAGCAATAATGTTCAAAATTGAATAGATGACATTCTGACAGTTGCTTTTCTTTAACATAGATAATTTCACATGCACATCAAGGCAGATTTTCAGTGTTGGTGTACACAGTTTTGCTGTTGAGGGAAATTGTAACAACAGCCTAGTTGTTAACCTTGAAGTTGGTATGTTTGATGTATAGATTCCATTTCTATTGTTTCAGAGAGGAATGTTGCTTTGTCGTAACTTGCACAATTCTTTTGCAGGGCAGAGAGTCTGTATTTTTTAGATTTGCAGGTTTGAATAAAGTCCAGTGACTTGACTCAACCCTTACCCAAATAATGAGAATTATTCGTCATCAGTGGTACATGAAATTAAACTCAGAACTAGAGGATCACAAAACAGACATTTTTTCTCAATAGCCGAGAGTAACCCACAAAGAAGCGGCTGTACTCTGCAGTAAGAGCGATGATACTATTCTTGGGACTAATTCTCTCCCACCATGTTTGACGTTGAAACTAACAGGGAGTTGGGGCGAGTCAAAAAATGATTTCAAGGGAGAGGATGAGGGTTGAAAATAACAGAAGGGGGAGGGGGAGGGTCAGGAAAGGAAAAAATATGCCTCCACACAGCCATTGTTTGTTCGGCAAACCCTACTCTGATGGACAGAGGCTCTGATTGATGCGCTTTCAGATTCCACTGTTCAATTTCTTTCTCCTCTTTGTCCCTCCCCCCTTGCCCACCCCCTCACCCCTTAGTTTTATATTGTTTTAAAAATGGGGACCACCATCACCACTCAGTGCTGTGTACATTTGTCATTTTTGTGTAGGATTGTAATCATAATATTCAACAGGAACAAACATGAAAAACTGAATATTTATCATGAAGTTGTTTTTCCTTTTTTTACTGGTTTTAAAGTCTCAATTGTGAGAGTAGAGGTCAGACTTGCTTCCATTAGCTTGACATGTTTCCTAGTGGTGTGTGACAGCACAAAGCACAAATCACAGCCCCACCCCTCCTCTCCACTGTTACCCATGCCTGTATTCACAATGTCCTTTGTGCACTTTACAGAAAGTGAATCAAGTGAATGCAACTTGGAGGAAGTTATGGAGACACTTATGAGCGAGTTACAATGTTGCACCTCACAACACAGCATGGACATTAGTGATGTGATATACATGAGGATATTTTATGTCAAAGATGTCCTGGACCATTGGGGGGCACAGGACTTCATACACGTGTGCTTTGAGAAGGTGACAACTAGCGCGCCTGCTGTTTCTCTTACACCTGTGGATGGTCTTGAAAAGGAGAACACTTTTATGCTTGTTTCTTGTCTTCTTCAAAGAACAAAGGAGGAAATCCAAGAGTGACTGTCAGTTAACCCTTCAGGTCCCAAGCGTGGCCAACATAAAATTTCTCTTAACAACATCTATACATAATAAAGACAGACTCGTACCCAGTCGCCACTTATTTATTCTCGCAAAGGAATATGGGAAGGCAATTTGACGTGCGCAAAGGCGCTTGGGAAGGAGGGAGAATTCTTCCTCCTTTCCTTGACGCACCGCGAACTCATTAAATCCTTTCCATTAATCACAGCACATACCGAGAAGCGACTGGGTACGAGTCTGTAATCAAGAGAAAAGGTAATGAGAATTAATAAAATAATCACCGAAGGGAAAAAGCGTTGATCTTTTATCGTATTCTCTCAACTAATTCTGTTAGAAAATGTATAGAGATCGTGCAGGAGTATTGGCGCTTAAAGGGTTATTGAAGCCTATTCCTTTACCCCTGTAATTCCCCTGGGAAGGGTTACTCAAATCGGGGTTAGATAACCCAGAGTAAGTTAGCCTGAGAAAACCACGATGCCGCCGCTTGTTTCCCCGCAAATTATCGCGTCACGCTCGCCTGCGGCTTGAGTGCCACTTCTTTGTTTTTAACGCATTTTGACGTCGTCTGTGATCTATTACTGATTAGACGCACGGCAACATGGAATCTATTTGTTAAATAATAGGTGTTACAAAATCAATAACCTAGGTGGCCCCTTAGGGCATTCTCTGTTTTACGTCATCCTAACCAACGATTCCTCCCGGCCCCTGTTCAAGCAGATTTTTTCTGGTATACCGACTGCACATTTCAACTGCCATTTTGAGCCTTTCCCATTTTCCCAAAATTTTAAACATCTCCCTCCCTAAATTTCATACATTATAAACGTCCGGAGAATCATCCAAAATTCACAAAGAATTATTGAATTAAGGAATGTAACTTAATTGAGTCATTTTTGCATTGAATGACATCTTGGGTACATATTTAATAAAAAGGGTGGAAATCAACGAAAATAATGCTTTTAACCGTACTGCCCCCTTAATGCTCAAACTTGGGAGGTATTGACCCTGAAAAATCCGGTTGAGCTACCTTAAAGTTGACAACGACTGGCAATCAGTAAAGAAAAGTTAAAATGCAAACATACGAAGTGTTCTTTTCTAATAGACTGCGAACAGTTTCTTACTTTTCTTTGCAAAGCTACTCCAAGCGTAATCCTTCAGAACGTAACATCCTTGCTCCATATTGTTGTGATCCAGAAATTTTGCTACCATGGTAACGTGACATCACACTTTTCCTCTCTATAGAGTGAAGGTTAGGAAACCTGTCAGTACCCTTTATTATCTGATTTTGCGGACTTTGACGGTGCACAACTATCCATAGCATTCGTGCCATTTTGATCTTTTTGACTAATAGAAACGTCGCATTAATTTATTCCGTCATAACCGGTGATAAAGATAAAGGCTTGTGTAGCGTCAGGGAGCTCCTAACGAATTTATCCGTGACGTTTGCCGCCTTTCATAACCAGTCTCCTCTAACTATGGTTTGTCGAAACCAAGAAAGTAGTGTTACTTAACATTCTGTCAGTTAAGAAAAAAACCTATTTCCTTTCCACTTTCAACAAACTGGTAATTTGGTTAGGCGATTAAAAACACTAGTCTGAAAAGCAGGCGTATTTATATAAGCGAGTTACTCTGTCGTCTTCTTGGATGATGAAACTGACAGAGGGTTGTTGCGATTTTTACTTGCTCCCAAATGGCGGCCTAACGCCATCAAAGTTCAAACAAGCTTCTGTAAAAGAAAACCCTGCTCTGTAGGGTATGAGAACACCGGAGTATATTATATAAGCTTTAGACGCGAGTTTGACATACTTATTATCAAATATGCAGCGTTTCGTTTGGTAAGAACGTTGCTTTAACTGAGGATGGAAAACTACGAAGTTCGATTTTTTAACAGTGTTGAATGATAGCTTTTTGGATGTTAACCTATTATAGAGCTTTTGTATTTTGATAATGAGCGGTTTTTTTTTTCATAGTGAAAGTTAGTGTCATCAGCAAAAAGTACAAAACATCAGTTTGTTTGAACATTTGTGAACATTAGCACGACTCCAAGCTACTGGAACGAAATCTGAAAAAGTACCCGACAAAGAAGGCATCTGTAGCAAGTGTGTCAACGAGTACCGTGTTGGTGTGATTAATATCAAGGACCTGGACATCAGCCTATCCAGCAGTCTAAAACGTTTGGAAATTTAACAATAGGTAACAAACGAAGTTTTTAGCAATCCTATTCCTGCTTTATTTAAGATGGCTAGTCAAAGAATAGGTGTAATTATGAATGTTGCGATTGCTGCCTTTGCGATTTTTAATCATTTTGTATCTAAACCTGTTTCTTACTTCACTATCATTATTGTCATGTATATCGCTTTCGAGTAAATAGTATTTTGTAACTTATATGTTATTTTTTTTCATTCAACTATTTTCTTCCGTGTCCCCTATTTTTAGCAGGATTCCCTCCTTTGGCTAGTCTTGTATATTGACACAAAAATGAAGTTACATCTTTCACCATTCACTCAATATCATTGACGAGCAGCTTGAAGAGAAAAAGCCCTAGAACCGATCCTTGGGGAACGCCACAGCTGATGTTGGCTTCATCTGATATATGTTGGCCTTACCATGTTGTTTGCGTGCAATTTTTCAAGTATGACGAGAACCAGTCGCTTAGCAAAATATCATGTTATTTTGTATGTCATTGACAATGTCCAATATTGCATGTCGAGTCGGAGTAATGTCGTTTGAGGTGGCCATTTTGTAAAGAATACAGAAAGTCGTATTTCTCAATAAAGATTGTCACTCTTTTTACGTAATTTTCTTGATTCTATTGAAATTTGGCAATAAAGAGATAGGTCTATAATAATTGTTTACACCAGTTTCATCCTCACTCTTAAAAACTGTCGTAATTTTGATAAATGTGAGCTTTCTGGGGTAAGTCCCTAACGCGATAGAGGTATTGAGTATCTCTGAAAGGATGGGCGTTATTTTTGCATGGATGGTATTTCTAAACTGATTATCTCGGGTATAACCGGTTGAAAACGGAAGGATGAGATTGTAGATTTACACGTACTAACACAGTCGAGACAGTGTTTAGTCTGTTTAGGGGAAAAGGCAGTTTGCTAGTACATACTGTGAGTACTGTGGCAAAGTGCTCATTAAGGATATTTGGAATCCGAGCGTCTCTTTTAGCTATATTATCTTCAAATAGTAAATCTTTTTACTTACTCGAATCAGGTTACGAACTTTATTTGTCCAGTAGTGATTTGCCTCTAACTTCTGTGACTTTATCTCCTGAAACAAAATGTACTCTTAGCTCTGATTGATGCCTTGATTCTGGTGGCGATCCAGGGTTTAGAAAGTTGTTCAGTTTCGCTTTGCGATTTGGTAGTTCCTTTAATTGGCGCGTAACTGTTAACAATTTTATTAAACTTATTGTAAACCGAAGAAAACAGCTTATTCACACAAATTATTCCATCTGCAATTATAATTATCCCATACAATCAACTTCAGCGAGATCGTTATTAAAGCGACATGTATCTTTCGCAGACGTCTTAATGCAGAATTGTGTAAATTAGGAGTTTGTCCGGGTTGGCGGTTAAAAAAAATGTTATCGATTAGCGTAACAGAGGTTCTGTGAACACGTTTGGGCTCATCGCTTATCGATTTTCGGAATGACAGTGATAACAGCTTTGTAGAGATAATAAAAAGTCGTGACTCATATGAGATGTTTAACATTTAATTAGATTTGTGCTGAAATCATCCATGATATACACAGCTTTATGAAGAGATATAATTTTGTCTATTTTTTCTTCGAATAATGAGTGGAAATAATCAAGGGACCAAATTGTGTTGTCGATAAAGTACCTCGCAAACAATATTTTTATGGTTAACAAAAGAAATTTCATTCCATGAGGGCTTGGGAAGTCTTATTTGAGGTCTTCTCTAGAAAAGCATGAGTAATCTTTTAATCGATCAACAAAAACTGACGGTCCAGCGAATCCAGAGGCCACGTATTCAAAGACATAACCTACAATGTTTGGACAGAAGTTGCTGTCATCTGAATTTTTGATTTTAGTTTCTGTGATTCCGCCAATGATTGGAAAGCGAGACTGGGTGTTTTTTCGGGAAGTTTTTCATTGAAAAACATCTCAAGACGTGAGCAATGACGAGAGAGATATCGGCATTGAATTACGCTGGCTAGCGAGGTTAGGATCGACATTCATCAAATTTCCATCTAGATCAGTGTCAAGACTAAATACATCCAAGTCGGGTAAAAAACTGCTTAATTAATCTAGATTTTTCCTAAAATGTCAAATATTCGGGATCATATGGACTGACCAGGAGAGAGAGCTACGATAGACTGCTTTCAAAGTTAAAGTAGGATGGTACCCCAAGGGTTATTCTCGCAGTAACAGTTGACTAGCTATCTATTCCGTCTTATTTCGACGTAATTTCTTCCTGTCAATTTTATTCTAAACTATAAACTAAGAATAGGCTACGGATAATCGAGAAACAAAAAGGCTTAGCTTATCTTGGCTTTGATGCATTTAAATCTTCTCAGCTCCTTAGCCAGAAGCACCCAACAACAGTTCCCTCCTAAAAACGTTAAAAACACTTTTTAGGCTATCCAAGTACTTTTAGATCTCTAGAAATGCATTCTTAGGAATAGCGGCACTATGACATTTGTCTGTTCGGTCAGATCCTGGGCAACTTGAGTCTTTTCGAAATTACAAGGATTTCAGTCTTATTTTCTCTAAAATTTTAGATGCAATTTAATGTTTCACGACAGTGAACATTTCTCTGATTCCTCAGTTTCTCCATCACATTTTCGAATCCGAAAATGTAGCTTAACTTGGGAAGGGAAATATGAAAAATTAAACTTCAGAAAATCGTAGGGAATTAATTACATATTGCTTCGAAAATCGTACATCATGATCAGTTGAACGGGTCACCCATAAATTTTTAGCCCCCCTCGTGTATAGAAACTTCTAGGCAGTATC